CAGTACGCGATGAGATCAAGATAAGGTACTAATTACAGATATATAGACAATTTATAGGTTTATTTGGAGGGTATTCGTATAATTGGCTATTTAATTTGTGGAATACAGTTATAAGATAATTATATTAGAATGGCTAAATCATTAAGATCGAAGCCTAAGTTGAGGGCTAAGTCGTTGAAACGTAAGGGCGAGTTTGAAGGAATTGTCGATGCTAGAAACAAGAGATTGGCCGAAAAGATGGAAAAGGAGACCAAAAGACAGGAAGAGATAAAACAGGCTGCTAAGGTGGAAGAGGGTGTTGAAGAGGATGAGAAGATGGTGGTCGACGACGAAAAGAAGAAGAAGGTCAGTACTTCGGGATGGAGAGATTCGAGAAAGCAGCAGTACAAGCAGAAGAAGCTCCAGAAGAAGAAGAACATGAAGTTTTAAGCGCAGAGAGGCTGTTTATGACAGACGCACTGCAGCGAAGATGAGAGGAGAAGCTAGGATAGAAGGGGCAGAACAGGGCCAAGGACAGTAGCAAGAGAAAAAAGACATTGAAAGGAGAGGTCAAAAACAGAAGCACGAGATACGGTGCGAGAACAAGAAATGGATAAGTGAAGGTGCAGAGCCGAAGCACAGACACCTGGTTGACCATGGGTCGTAATTTTGTATAGTAGTTATGGCATTGGCATTTTAATTCTCAAGTTATAGTTTATTATTATAAGATAAAGTACTTCATTACACGATACTGAAATAGCACACGTTTATTCATACATATATAGGGCATTTATGCCTTGTAATTTTCGTAGCCCACAGACTCCAACTTTTCGGCCTTGGCTAACACTTCACTTTCCATGTTGTTCATGTATTGTGACATCTTGTTTAACCATTTGTTGTCAACGGCACCTAAGATTCTGACAGCCAATAACGCAGCATTAGTACTGTTGTTAATGGCCACAGTTGCGACTGGAATACCCCTTGGCATTTGTACAATTGAGTGTAACGAATCAACCCCGTCCAATGTGGAACCTTTAACAGGAACACCAATGACTGGCAATGGAGTCATGGCTGCAACCATACCCGGCAAATGAGCAGCACCCCCGGCACCGGCAATAATACACTTGACGCCACGTTTGGCTGCTTCGATGGCATATTCAGTCATTCTGTGGGGCGTACGGTGAGCACTGACGATAGTCACTTCAAATGGTACTCCGAAAGTCTTCAAGATGTTTGCACCCACTGACATGACTGGTAAGTCAGAATCAGAACCCATTATTATTCCAACCAATGGCTTATCTGAGGAGGAATCAAGATCCTTGACAACTACTTCTTCATCGCCTAAGATGTGTGCCAATCTATTTTCACAATCGGTCATGGATGATGAGACAATGTTAATATGTCCCATTTTTCTTTGTGGTCTAGTACCCTTACCATAAAGATAGACGGAAGCATTTGGAGTTTCTAATGCTCTACGACAGATCTCTAACTCCTTGTTAGCAGTATCGTCACCTAAGACATTCAACATAATGGCATTGGTGTTAGTGGTAGAAAACTTGGTAAAGTCTTTAGGCATTGGCAATCCAACAACAGCCCTTACATGGGCTTCAAATTGGGATGTAACACACGCATCTATAGTATAATGACCTGAATTATGAGGTCTTGGTGCAATTTCATTGATCAATAATTCACCATTTGATAATAAGAACATTTCGACCCCGAAAATACCACATCCCGGGAATGATTTGACAGCATTCTTGGCTAAGATCGATGCTTTGACAGCTACAGTATCGTTGACTCTAGCTGGTGCGTAGACAACATGACAAATGTTGTTCTTATGGACGGTTTCCACAGTAGGGTATGCAAAAACTTCTCCTTCAATAGATCTTACGACCATGACAGCCAATTCCATGGTAAATTTGCACCATTTCTCAGCATACAATGGTCTATCCTTCAAGAATTCTAATGCTTCTGACAAATTGTCTTTACTCTTGACTACATAGTTTCCTCTGCCGTCATACGCTAAAGTTCTTGACTTTAACATGAATGGATATTGAAACTTATTACCAATTTCAGTTAATGTTTCGACATTGTTTTCCTTGACATCAATAGATTCAGTAACTTCGATTCCGTGTTCAATCAAATGTTCTTTCTGCAAATACTTATCTTGGATCATCTTGATGGTCTCTGGCAATGGGTAAATCTCGACACCATATTTATTCTTAGCCTCTTGTAAAGCGTTGGCATCAACATGTTCTATTTCTACTGTCAATATATCACATTTCCTGGCTAATTCCATAATAGACTTTGCGTCTGAAAATGACCCATCAACATGTTCGTCTAATGCATTAATCTGCTTAGCTGGTGAGTTAGGCGCATCCAAGATAATAGTTTTAATATTTAATCTATGAGCTGCTTCAACAATCATACGACCTAATTGGCCACCACCTAAGATACCTATAGTCTTTCCATCCATATTCGCTATTTATAGAGTTTATTTTATATTCTGTTTTAATATTAGGTAGGAAAAACGTTCAAGCAATATATAATCCATCTCTTGGATTATGTTAATTAACCCGAGTCATTGAAAAAATCATTCGGTTTTGTGTTACATTTATATAGTATAGTCTTATCATAAAAATACATACATAGATAGTAGAAGCAGATACATAAAGAAACTATATAATGATAGAAGAGTTAATTAAATTGGGATTCATCCAAATTAATGTTCATAAATTCATTTTCGGAGAAAAGAGTTCCCCCGAATTGATTTGACTGGTTATCCTTCGAGACCATCATGAGATTAGTGTTTACCGAAGGATGAAGCATATTTTGAAAAGGTTGACTTTGCTGTTGCTCTTGATGGTGCTGCAAAGATTCAAATTTCTCTTGGACGGATAATTGTGGCTTTGTCTCGAAAGCATGGTCATCCAATATGCTTGAAACCGTCGGTGGCATTGTAGCCGTAGATGTAGTCGTAGTGCTGTTCAATGAAGGCGGATGATAATCAACGGCCAGCGGTTGAATATCAGCAATTGTTTGGGTAGGTAACGACAATTTTGTTACTGAAGTACTAGCATCTTTGAATTGATCTACTTTGGCGAATTCCCATAATGATACTGATTTAATTTTCAGTTTTAACACTATATTTGAATCACCATTGGATTCATAAATGATCTGCTTAATGGTGATACCTTTGAAAGCCATATTAACCTCCATTGGGTTGGAATTGTTAACTAACTTGGATATAAAAAACTTCCAAAATTTAGGCAAAAACTGTTGGTTTTCGTTGGCCTTAACATTTGTATCGTTGAACTTCAATACTTCATTACCAAAGGAATATATACAAGTGAAGACTGAATAATTCGATTGATGGGAATCCAGAAGGAAATAGTTCGTTTGAAGACCTTCAATTGTATAGTTTTTGGGCAAATGGGGTAAGTATACTTTAACCATACTATGAAGAATGGGGATATCAGTGTTCTGGAAATCGTTTAAACCGGGAAATCTATTCGATATTTTGGCGTTTTCCTTTATTTTCAAGCTTTTCAAGTCATTAGAATTTTGAAACGTAAGGATGATCGGATTGCCTCCGTACGTATCGTTAATTAGCATATAGAAGTTTTCAACTTTAATAATTTCATTTATTCTTTGCTTTTTAACGGGTTGAGTAGAAGAACTGACCGACTCCTTACGTTTCTTCACGTCTGTCATACCCAACGACTTATCCAAATTGATCTTAGAAAAAATCTCCTCAAATCTCTTGTCGTTTCGTTCCTTCTCTTTCTCAGTCTCAAAGCTAGGCCCCTCATTAATTAACTTAATAATATCGGGTTTCTGGCCTAAATTTTTAATCACTTGTATATGACTAGAAACCTGTTTTCTACTTCTGAATTTGCCCGTTTTGTTCAAAATATAATCCGAGATTAATTCGTTTCTACCACAGGATCTACCACTGATCTTAATCTTATTAGAGCTCTTTTTGGGGATAATGGCCAAAATTTCCTCGAACGCCATTTCGACATCATCCGACCAAATATCGTTGGTTGACCCTCTGTCCTCGTTATGGAACTCGTAGTTATCTTCGACGTTACCCGTGAAGATATTCAAGTCTCCTGTTCTTTTGGTGGCAGATTCAGGTGGTGCATAATCCCCCAACTCACCCTCTTCATCTTCGTCCTTCACCTTCTTCTGGTTGAGCGTACTGGGCGAAACGATTCCGAGTATTTTGCGAATTGGAGTCTTTTCGGCTTCATTGCAGGAAAAATTGGTCGAAATAGGCATCTCCTTTCGTACCTGTCTTGACGACTCGTGCACTTGGTAGAGTTGCTGTCCGTCGCCATCTAGAGCAATATCCACTATCATGGGCAACTTCTTGTTAGTTCGTCCCGTTCTATTGGGTGTTTGTGTAGGTGTGTGAGACATATTAATGAGTGACTTAAGTTAATTAGAATTTTTACACGTTGAGTTGGATAAATAAAGGAGTGAATGTGTGCAACGGTAATCTTATCTTTTTGCTATATTATTGACCTTCTCAGACCTGGTATAATAGGGTCAGATATATCTCTGGAACAATTGAACGGTAATAAATCTTATAAAATTTTAAATGAGTGTCTTTGCCTTATGCTTCTAATTCTAGATTTCGCCTTAAATTATTATGGATTATCAGCCTTTGCAATTTTGTCAATAAAATTTATCGTGTATTCGTGTTTTCTATTTTTGTTTATAAGCCTCACGCAATATTTTTTTTTGAGTCGTCCTCTGTGCCTAGTTCCCCTGAATATGGATACAATACGAATTCGTCTAATATACACGTAGAAATAGCCAGCATAATATGTAATAAGAGTATATATACCTTTATATAACTACAGATATGATAACAGAATTTGAGGTGAAAAGAAGCGAATTGGACCAAACTGGAACGAGTAGAAACTATATATGAGTGTTCGTTTAAGGCACATGCATTAGATGGTTCTAGAGGTGGATGAAGGAACTAGAATGTTTGTATATGTCAGCTAGTTGCCTTTAATAAAGTTCTGTAGTAAAATGTTGTCGTTTTCGGAAGCTTCTTCCACCTCACTGAGATCGTTAAGTTCAATTATTTGTTTAGGATCGTAGTCGGTGAATCTTAATGAGGAACCATGAACTTCCACAAACGGCACTTTAAGGGTGCCATCGTTGTAGTCGTTGTGGATTTTCTTCTCAATCTCAGTTAGGTGAGGCAACGAGTTACGATGCTCTTTGTAGATTCGTTTGCTTCCGCGGATTATATTGTTTGTGGATTTGTTTTCTTTGAGTACCATGTGATAGAATTCGCCTACATCAGCATCAAATTCCTTGACTGAGGTGTACTCGTAGGTATCAATATTGTGTTTTATCTGGCTCCAGGTCAAATGGGCGCCAGTTTTGGACCGGTAGTTGATCAAGAGGTGGTTGGTATCGAGCTTGTCGAGCTTTGAGAATTGGATGTCGAGGAGGCGCTTAATTGGGAAGTATACGGTGTCTACCATAACTATATCTAAATCGGACGCCTGTTTACTCATCTCTTGTCGTGAAAGGTTATCGGATGTTAACCCAATAACCTTGTCAAGATCATTAATGAGGATATTGGCAACTTCAATCTTATTATTGATTTCCTCGTAGTTACTATTGCCGTAGACGATGGAAGATGTAGCGATCATGTTATTGTTCTTTCTGATCAAGGTGGCTCCCTTCTTTGATTCTCTTTTCAAGCACCAGTAACGACATATTTCGTTGCTCATGTCCCGGATTTCTTGCAATATTTGTTCCCGACTTCTGTTAGGCTTATACCCAAGATCTTTTAACATGGCTACTTTGGCCAGTTGAGTTACGCTTGGCTGACTTTCAACCTTCAAATTGATTAATGCACCATATAATTTATCACTGAGAAGTTTAGGGGGGATCGGCGTATTGTTTTCAGTTTTCCATTTGAATGTGTTTAATTTATTGGCCTTTTTTTGATTTTTAGTCAACTTTGCATTCTGGTCGTTCAATATGGTAATATCTCTGTAGAACAATCTTGTTTTATTGATACCTTTAATGCATTCATTTTGATCCCAATCTGATGGTGAGTGCTTGTCGCAAAAAGATTTCAAGGTGGTTTTGTTAGTTATAGCTCCTTGTATGCCTTTTGTTAAATTCATATAGAGACCTGCCCTTTTTGCACATGTTACATGGTAAGCTTGGAAGCAACTTCTATTGCAGCATTGAATACAAGCACCAACCTTCTGTTTACATATATAACACGTTAATTTCCATCTACTTTTCGGAATTAAATCAACCCCTTCAATTGGTTCCATGTAGATTGGATTAGCGAAGTACAACTCATTTATCCATAATGCGCATATGACATGACTCCACAAACTATTATCCAATTGCTTGAAAGCTCCTGTTTTACTGGGACAGAATACACAATCTATTTCTCTGTTTTTATTGATCATGCATTTACGGCACAACCATTGGCCTTCGGGAATGAATGCAATACCATAACATTCTTGATGCACTGCAATATCACAACCATCGCAGAACACTATAGCATTTGAGTTGTCACAGTCACTGTCGTTACATACGGCACATTTCTGTTCCACTACAGACCCTAACACGATCCCATCATCGTTACCGTATTTGTTATTATCTAACCCTTCGTCCAATGTTAATAGCCTGTTATTTTCATCTTCCGTGGAAGAAATAGATGACATTTGTATCTCCAAGCTATCCCATTCATTCTCGAGTATGGTTATTAGAATCTCGAACACTTCTGGTGTCAACTTGATCGTATTTTTGGCCTGACTGTTTCGATGCTGTAGATATAAGTCGTCTTGTTCATCCATATCATATTCAACCTGGTTTTTTTTCTTTATAATCATATCCTCAATTTTTTCATTTTCATTCAACGAGAATGGCCGTATGTATGTCGACGACGGTACCTTGTGGCTAGATCTATTGGGCTCCTGAAATCCATATTCTGTGACCGTTTTACTGAACTTAATATTTTGATCTATCTTGTCAGACTTAGAGGTCACTCGAAATAAAGGTTTTTTTAAATCTAAGTTATTTATTGTCCTTGCTTCATCATGCAGTTCATTATTATTATCATTTTGATTATCAAGTACGAAGACTTTCAATTGATTTGTTTCTTCGAGGTCAGGATATATTTCTTTGAAATTACGCTCCTCTCGGGGTTTTGAATTATCAAAAAATGTCACGGAAGAATAATTCGGATCTATAAGCGAACGCCCATTTCCTGGAGTTTCCATACTCGTTCCTTAATATGGAATTAATAGATATTTCTATATTTACCTCAGGTAACAGTATTTTGAATTGATTTCGAAGCATTTTGTGTCGCAAACGACTCGATTTACGACACACTTTTCAATTGGATTTTGCAGCATTTATGAAATGTATAACTATGCTAAATATGGAACTTAGGAGAGTGTACGTCACCTAGTGGACTATCTATATATTCTAATATATTGGTGGGAGAATGCAGTCTTGAAACTACGTTTGAAATGACTGGGGTTGTGAATCTTGACACGATATCTGGTGAGTCGCAGCATGCACCATCTAAGGTTGAATCTAACAACATATTGCTTCTTGAGCTCCCTAGAAGAGATAACTTGGAGGAAACAGTAGAAATAGTATGACTAATGTCCGTGGATGTTTGAGCAGAAAAATTTCCTCTATTAGTGGCCTGGATAGGGAGGTGTAGTTGCATGACCGCAGCCTTTAAATTTTCGTGAATATCTGAAGAACTGGAAACTCTAACAACAGGGTTCAAGCTTCTTGGTTGTGGATTCAAGAATGGATGGTTCAAAGCCGATTCAGATGTAATTCTTTCATTCGGATCAGTCTTGAGACAACAATCTATGAAGTCTTTCGCCTCGGCTGACACATGCAGCCAATACTCAGGTGGTTCATACATGTAGTCTCCAGAAAGTATAGCGCACCTGGTTTCGTCGTCGGTTTCACAATCAAACGGCATATAACCACATAGCATAAAGTAAACAATGACCCCAGCAGACCAGATATCAACGCCAAAATCATAACCTGAACCATTTAATACTTCTGGTGCAATATAGCTTAGTGTGCCGCGAACTCCTTTCAACTTTTCATCTGGGCGGAGTATTCGAGCTAACCCAAAATCAGCTACTAGTATATTCATATTATCACTTTTTCGAGACCGGAAAAGGATGTTTTCAGCCTTCAAATCATTATGAACTATATTGTTTGCGTGCAAGTAAGAAACAGCACTCATCAACGATTGCATGATTACTGAAGCTTGCATCTCTTCCAAGTGGCCTGACTTGGTAATTCTATCAAATAATTCACCTCCATATGCTATTTCTGTCACCAAATACAACTCGCTCGCGGTTTCAAAATGGTCTATAAGTTTGAGAATGTTGTCATGGCTCCTGGAGATCCTTTTCAACACAAGAAATTCATTCTGTAGCATACTTTCCAACCCATATACCAAATTTTTCTTATACATCTTGGCAGCATAATGTTGACCAGTCAACTTATTCTTGCATTCAAAAACTCCAGAAAACGTCCCGTCCCCTAGTTTATTTTTCGAAAGTATGTATTTGCATGGTTGTTCTATTGCGGAAGGATTCTGTCCATTAATATTTGTTGATTCTGTGGGAGGCCATACTTCTTGTATGTTATTTCTATATGTATGAGCCATGTTTCAAGCATAGAAATATTGATATATTGATGTCAAATACTTGAACTGTTATATCTGATACTTCAAAGTACTTATCTAATTACAAAAAACTTGCTGATAAGGTTTAACAATATTCCATTACGTCCCCGGAAAAATTATATGTCGCGCTTACACCGAACGGATTATCTTTAAGATGAGGTCACATGATCAAGCTGAATTAATTTTTTTTCAAAATTACTCTGATGAGGTACTAAATAATTGTATAGTTGTTAATAAATCGAGATTGAATTACGAGTATCGAAGATGGATGGCTCTAAGTTAAGCTTAGCGTCTTTGAAAGACAAGATTTCGAGTAAAATGAATTTGCTGAATAAGAGCAACGAAAAACCCAAGAAGAAGGAGAATAAGAAATCCGAGCAAAAGGAAGCTAAACAAGAATCAGCTAAACCTAAGGAAAACAAAAGATCAGAACATAAGGAGTACAAAGCAACGGATAGAAAATCAGTCTCAAAGGAACAAACCAAGTCGAAGCAAATTAATAATGATAAGGAGAAAACAGAAGAAGATATTTTAAGAGAAGAAGCTTTTGCACTTGGGGCTACTGAAGAAGACTTAGCATTGTTGAAAGGTATCGAAGATGGTGAAGATAGTGAACAGGAATTTGACGGAGATTCTAAAAGTATCGATAAAACATTTTCCACTGACTTGTCTCAATTCATGAAAGGAATAGGGTTAGGTAAGGGTGAAGCAGTTGTCGTTGAAGACGATGAAGCTGTTCCTGAATTAGTAGATGTAGAGGAAAACGATGAAGAGGAAGAAGAAGAAGAAGAGGAAGAAGAAGAAGAAGAAGAAGAGGAAGAAGAAGAGGACGAGGAAGAAGAAGAAGAATCTAGTGATAGTTCTTCTGAGTCTGAATCTGAAGTTCAAGAAAAGGAAATGAACAAGAAAGAACTCGCAAGTAAATCAAAAGAAGGTGTAAAAGATAAATCAAGAAGAGATCCAGATAAAATCACCGATCTTTCTTCGGTAAGCAGCAACAACTTGATTGTTCCAAGTAGAACTGACTGGTATAATACCCCATTGGAAAGAATTGATGAGCCAGAAAAATTGGACAGATTTGGTGTTGAAAGATTGTATGAAAGAGCTAAGACAGTTGTTGAGAAGGATAATAAAACTTACTTAGAAGAATTCACTTCGAATAACTCCCAGAAAAAGTTTTTATCTCAGATTTTGGCAGATGGTACATTAAATGATAAAATTTCAGCCTTAACATTATTAATTCAGGAAGCTCCATTGCATAATATGAAAGCATTTGATACTTTATTGGGTTACTGTAGTAAAAAGTCACGTACTGCTGCTTTGCAATCAATTAATGCCTTGAAGGATTTATTATTGAACGGTGTTTTACCTGACAGAAAATTAGTCGCATTTAACAAACAACCTTTAACCAAGAATTTATCAGATGTTCAGGTGGCCATTTATTACTTTGAAGATTATTTAAAGAAATCCTATTTCAAGTTAATTTCTACTTTAGAGGTTTTGTCTCATGATCCAATTATACATGTAAGAATGAATGTCGTGAGCCATTTATTTGATTTGATTAAAGCAAAGCCAGAACAAGAAGTCAATTTGTTGAGATTAGGTGTAAACAAACTAGGTGATATTGACAATAAGGTTTCCTCCAAGACTTCTTACCAAATATTACAATTAGAACAAACTCATCCAGCCATGAAAAAGGTTGTTACTGATTCTGTTGTTGATATAATTTTTAAAAGTAACAGTGATTACCATGCACAATACTACTCTATTGTCACTCTCAATCAAACAATTTTGACTAGACGTGAAGATGAATTAGCTAATACTTTGGTCAGAACTTATTTCGCCTTATTCGAAAAAATTTTAGTTGAAACTGACCATCATAATGCTGAAACTAACAAGGAAGACAAAGCTCTCGGTAAATCCGAGAAGGGTAGAAAGAATAACCGTAAGAACTTTAAGAAAGGTAAGAAAGGGGGAAAATCGGTAAAGAATCAAGAAAAGTCTGAAAATGAGATCATTGAAGATAAAAACACCAGATTATTCTCAGCTTTGTTGACAGGTTTAAATCGTGCATTTCCATTTTCAAGCTTACCAAATGAAACTTATCAAAAACATTTAGACACTTTATTCAAGATTACGCATTCCTCAAATTTCAATACGTCTATTCAAGCGTTGGTGTTGGTTAACCACATCATAACAAGTCAAAAATTGGATTCGGATAGATACTACCGTACATTGTATGAATCCTTGTTAGACCCTCGTTTAGTCACAACATCCAAACAAGGTATCTACTTGAACTTGTTGTATAAGTCTTTAAAAAATGATACTGAAAATGTCCCAAGAGTCTTAGCATTTGTTAAGAGAATTTTACAAATATGTTCGCATTGGTTACACGTCGGTGCTATTACCGGTATGTTGTTTTTGTTAATGCAATTATCTAAAACATATCCACAAATTCAAGATTTATCGATTGACTTTGCATCAAGACCAGATGAGGATGATTTTGAAAATGAGGAAGCCAATAATGCAGACCGTACTTACGACAGTCGTAAGCGTGATCCTAAATTTGCAAACGCTGATAAATCATCATTATGGGAAATAGGACAATTTTTAACACATTACCATCCAACCGTTGCCATATACGCTGCTTCTCTTTTGGATGGAAATGACCAACCAAAACCAGATTTAGGTTTATTCACATTATCCCATTTCTTGGACAGATTTGTCTACAGGAATTCAAAGCTGAAGCCAATGACCAAAGGTTCATCCATTATGCAACCTTTAGGTGGTGCTCACACTGGTTCATTATTGGTAAAGGCCACCAATGTTGCAAACAATGAGATTCCAGCAAACACTGAAAACTGGTTGAATAAGAAGGTCGAAAACATCCAACCCGATGAAAAGTTCTTCCACCAGTACTTCACTACTAAAGTCAGCAAGTTGAAAAACAAAGAATCAAAGAAGGAAGGAGAAGAAGAAATTGAAAATGAAGAAGAAGCAGCGGAAATGGAAGACGATGAAATTTGGAAAGCCTTGGTCAAGTCTAGACCAGAAGTCGAAGAAGCGTCCGACGAGGATGACTTTTCTGATTTTGATGCTGATGACTTCTCTGACATGAGCGATGATGAGGAAACAGCCGAAGCTGAAGGTGAAGATGCTGCTCTTGAAGGTGAGGAGCAAGAAATAGAAGACGAACCACAAACTGTCGCAGCTGACGAATCGGACGGTGAAGAGAATGACGAGGAAAGCGCAATGTTTGCTATAAATGATGAGGATGAATACGACAGTGATGAGGCTCCAAAGATGTTAGGTGAAGATGATTTGTCGTCCGCAGAATCAGAACCAGAGTCAGACCAAGGCTCCAAGAAGCGTAAAGCTTCTGACGAGAAGAGTGCCAAATCCAAAAGATCTAAACTTAAAAGTTTACCTATTTTCGCCTCGGTGGACGATTACTCCCAATATTTGGATTCTGAAGATGAAGACTATTCCTAAACTGCCTGATGTATTATCATTCTACAGACTTCTATATTTACATGTTAAAACCTAAATAACTGCCTTGTTTAGTTTTACTATTTTTTAAGATTATTTTTTAATGCATACTATTTTTTCTCAATGCCCTGCTTGTAAGCAGACTGATGATCACTTGCCGAATCTATATGCGGCACCATTCTATATTGACACATGAAAACTTTTCGCCTGTCATATATGGAAATATGCCTTTATAATGTGGCTCATCACGAAAGTTTTGTACATGAAAAATTCTTTTAACGGTCACTCTGCATAAATCTTTCGCTCGCATCCGCTTAAAAGTTAAAATTTTATTGTCCAGAAGTATAGGTTTTATTCGATATAAGTTCGGAATCCCTTCTTCTTTTTAGTGAGAGAAATAAAATCAGCATATGATCTTAAAGAGTTGCTATATAATCTTAGAAACCTCTAATTAGTATAACAATTAAGGGAATATATCTGTATAGAAAAGATGTCTGCTGTTAAGGACAGTTTGGACGTATTGAATCAAAAGTATGATATTTTTATAGTAGGCGAAGGGAATGTTGGAATATCGTCATTCTTGTACTCATATATTTACAAGGAATATGTTGAAGATTCCGAATTAGAAGTCGAGGAATTGCTCACGAAGACTGTGTGGAGAGGATCCAGGTCTTACGACATCTCGATTTTGGGAGGTTCAGCTACTCAAGAATATTACCTGAGCAGTAGGAAGCAACAAATTAAGAATACGACCGCATTGGTCTTTGCATATAGTATATCTGATAGAAATTCTTTTGCAGAGTTAGAGTATTTGTATGAAAGGACCATGGTTTTACGTGGAGATTCGCCTCCTTTCAGTATAGTTGGTTTGAGGGCAGATATAGAAGCTGAAAGACAGGTTGCATACGAAGAAGGATACAGCTTATGTGAACGATTAGGAGGAGTCCACTTTCAAGAGTGTAGTGCTAAAGATGACATTGGTGTTAATGAAGCATTCGATCCCATAATCGATGCTGTCTTGTCGCTCAAATTCGATAAAAGCAACAAAAAAAAGAATTCAATCACAAACAAATTGGGAAATACATCAAAGATAAAATCAGTAGCTACGACTAATGCCATTTCGAAGGCAGCTTCAAAGTTAAACAAAACAAATGATCACGAGTCCTTGGACGATAAAAAAAATCAAGATAATGAGTCACGACAAGTAAATCAAGCCTTGTCAACTTCAACTAGTGCATCTCTGGCAAGGGGAAACAGAAGGAATAATTACATTCTGCCAGAACATAAGAAGGATTTAAAGAAGCAAGGTTGTTGCATTATTATGTGAGATGTTGATACGGTTCAAGCTAGATGTCTCTAGCATGGATATTTGTATAGAGTAGCATAAAATATATTTATTTAGAGAATTATGGAAGCATGGGTTATAGAAGGCGTTAAATTATTAGAATATTAATAGATATACATCCGCAAATCATATATAATTAGATACATATTTGTAATAAATTGAAGAAAACGATACTGGCATACTATCATTCCACAAAACTATTAAACTACCCAAATGGAATTAGATAGCTGCCCCTTCTGAAATGTGTGAGAAGCCACGGAATTGTTCTTGCATTTCAGATGTGAGAACTGTTTCAACTGGTGTTAATCTTGGGGTTTCCGATGTGAATTCTTGATCGAAGTTCGAATAATCATGTTCAGATGAAACCTCAGGCAAATATGGTGCTTGAATACGGCAATTTAATATGTCATCAAAATTAACGTCTTGGAAGTAAGGATGTTCCATGATTTCTTCTGCATCTCTTTCACCACTACCAAGACGATTAGCAGGATCTTTTGTTAATAAGGCTTGTAATACTAATACAGTTTGGCGAGGCATACTAATTGGATATTTCACATCATCATGCTCTATCGCGTTGAAAACTTCATCATCATCATCACCCTTAAATGGAGATTGACATAATAACATTTGGAATAGCAATACACCAAATGCCCACCAATCAACACTTCTGTCATATTGCTTTCCTGCAATAATTTCTGGTGCCATAAATACAGGAGTACCACAGAAAGTACCAGTGGTACTCTTGTGCCACATATTTTCTTTACATAAACCATAGTCAGCTATCTTTATATGTCCTTTTGTAGTCAATAAGATATTATCCAATTTCAAGTCACGATAGACAATACCATTGTCATGGAAATACTTTAAAGCCAACAAGACTTCGCAAGCATAGAACTTAGCCCTCTTTGCAGAGAAACGAGATTTTTGAATATGCCACATTAAGTCACCACCTGAAATATATTCCATAACGAAATATATACGATTTTCAGTTTGGAAGCAGCAATGCAAATTCAATAAAAATGGATGCATTTCTTTGTTTGCGGTTAAAAATACTCTCTTTTCAGAAGCAACACTGTCAGCTTCGTCATTTTCCACAATAAAGTCCTTCTTTAAAACTTTAATAGCGCATAAATTCAGCGTGTGTCTTGACTCAGCTAACATGACCTTACCAAAATTACCTTTACCTAAAACCGCAAGAAACTGGAAGTCATCTAATCCGATCTTTCTCTTACGACGTTTTTGTTTATGAGGTACCCCCGTCTTTGGTTGAGTTACTTGAGATTTTTGTGGAGTATGATAATCTACCGGAGCTTCTTCATATTCTGGCTTCTGGGGAACCTCTGGTACCGTAACCTTGTTATTATTATAGTCAAAATTATTAAAATGAGATTTATCATTTACGATTGGATTTGCAAACGGGTTGTCAATCTGCATATCAGTTGGTTCATTTGCTTCCTTTGCCTCTCTAGATTCAGTAGTATCCAAACTTCCATGTTTCATATCATCCGATTTCGATGACATGAAAGTATAGTCATGATCATATGATTCTGATTGTTCCTGTTGCAATTCATTTCCAGGTTCTTTAGTAAGATCATTTGGTGGTGGACGCCTACCAGTTGGCTTAAATTGAGATTCTATTGGTTTCTGGAATTGATTTTTAGTTTCCGTTGGTAATCTTGAGGCATACTCTTTCTCTAGTTCATCATCAGAAATATTTTGCAAAGTGTCTGACTTCGAATCAGACGTTGAACTTGAAAATTTAGATGCTTCAGATGAAACGTTTGGTTGACTGATGATAGGGGCGGCTGGTGGAGGTGGTAACGGCTTTCCTGGAGTTCTTGTTGATTTTATAGTAGTGAGAATTTTATTTGCCATTTCCATAGACATACCACAGAAATCTGGAACCAAATGTGTGCAATGAGCGTGGCACATAACACCACATTCAGAACATTTACGGACATTTTTACGTCCCCAAGGCAAGATATAACCACAATGGCAACACCATTTTGTACCATGATTCGTAATTGGATCAAATCTGTGTGGAATACGGTGGTTTAATTTTGCTTCATCGGGATCGATATCATTACTTGATTTAGAAATACATTTCGTAACCACCTTTTGAAAGCATTTTTTGTGACAAAGGAACTTACAATCTTGACATTGAAATCCAGTATAACGCAAAAACTCTCCACAAAATGCACAACACATAATATTATAAAACTGTTTTTGAACAAACTGATGTCCATGTTGTTTGAAGACTTCTTCTTTCTTCTCACGAATAGCACCATGACGACCAAGAGCCCCCATAAATTGTCTATTCCCGATTTGATTTGATTTATCTAAACTTACACTAACGAGAATTTGACCCACTGGTTCCAAGCTTAACCAAGTGTTGATTTGAACTTGCTTAGCTTCAACAGAAGGGGGTGAATTCATATTTTCAGCAATATTAGAATTGTAATGAGTAGAACTACCGTTAAATGTAGATGTGGCATTGCTTACCCCCAAACTGGAGCTAGATGGATAATTATCACTGTGCTGTTTGTTATTGTTGTTTGGTAAGTTGGATGCTGAAACCCAACCTTCGCTTCCTTCTTCTTGAGCGACCTTTTTCTTACGAATTTCTTCTGATATATCAGAAAGTAATGCCCATGTAACAGCCACTGGTACTAAGACAGAGCCAGACTTATCATAAACTGAAAATTCAATTTCGTTTCCTTTATCAATGTCAATATGAAACTCTTCATTCCATTTGCCTGAGCGAGAACCACGAGTTTTAGCTCTTTCCACGTCATCTATTTTGATAGAAACAACTGATTCCGGCCTCTTTGAAAATACTGGAGACGCAATATGATCAATATCTCTAATGCAAGTAACGCTAATGGTTAATTTACCACTGAATGCCTTTCTGGCATATTTGGGAGTATTCATGATCTCCATATCACGAGTGACATCTTCGACATCAATGTGCATGTCTTGATACCTTTTTAACGATTTATTAAGTAATTGAATCCTTTGATCACTCTCTAAACGGCCAGTATCAGCAACAATACTGCTCGATTTATCTCCATCTAATTTGTATAAATGAGCAATCTTTTCGTTGGCCTCTCGATATTGATTTTCCACCTGTAATTTAAATTGCAACTGTTGCAACATGTACAGAATTCTATGCCCAAGCGAAGGGCAATCATACTTGATTAAATCAAATCTTGAATATACAGGTTTGTTGCCTGATCCCGTCGATGCTTCTTTCGTACGCAGTTCTGCTTCGTTGGCGCCTTGTTGTAACGAAAGCTTAGACAATGTCTCCTGAAGGTAGTCTATATTGGACTGTGTCTCTCTGATCTGGTTATTACATCTTTGAATAACCTCTGCATTATCAGTGTTTCGTTTCAAAGCTTGGAATCCTTGAATAAGTTTCTTTTCTCTTTCAATCTTCCCGTTGATGTCGTGTAGAACTTGCTGGTTCTTAGGTTCTGTCATTGGCAATTTTTAGATTATTCAATCAACTCTAGTCAATTTAAACACCGCAGATTTTATTGGTGTATAAAACAATCGTACTTTCGTAGCTATGGCCAATTGGATCAATATATCAATCAAGATCGAGATCAATGTCTATTCCAATGACACTTTAAAATTCGTTCGCTTCTGAACGTTTAATTTTAAAAAATACTGTAGGGATTATACGACTCAGTAAAGATGTTCTTCTCCTTACCTTTGATTGTCAAATATATCAATGTAACTAAGCTAAAAGATGTTTATTAGGACCTGTTCTTAATAACAATGGATGGTACCTCGATTTGTGTTGACAATTTACTGCTAAGGGGATTTTTACACGTGATATATAATTACCTGATTTGGAAGCACATTATTAAAGGCTATGAAATGCTATTTACTGTTACAACAACAATTACAGTCAGGAACAGGACAAACATAATGCTTAGAGAACCATTCCTCTGCATGGTATACATGCGACCCATGGTTACAGCTCAAGCAAAAACTGAACCATTCTCTAAGATTATTTTCAATTTTACCACTGATCGTGTTATCATTCGCTCTATCTCTTGAGTCCATAGGAACAGGTGTGCCTAGAGTAAGTAGACAGACCGCACATCTAGGTAACGGGGCGCCACAATGGGGACATGACTTGAAGTTGTGTTTCATTTTCTTAAGATTCATTTTATTAAATTGCTTTAGAAGGGCGGACGGGTTGTTTGCGTTGGTCCCTGCAGCATTCGAGGATGCATTGTTGCGACCCAGACTATTTGCTTTGGGCTTTGATAGGTTTTTGTTACATTTGCTGCATTGTAGATATACTTGTTTTGGAGCCGGTTTGATGGTTAACAGACCAGTGTTATTCTTAGAGAGTTTTGTACGGGCGACATCGAATTTGGCTCTGATACTAAACATGCTCCAACTGTTGAGTAAAGATCTGTAGCAATCAGCCCAATGACTCACTCGTGTATCACTAAAATATCTTGGACATCCGAACGCCGAAATCAATGCTGCAGTCTGCACGTCACTAGTTCTATCAACATAAGATTGCAATAAATCGATCCCCTTAGGGGTTATACCCGTTAATATCAACCCCTCTAACTCACCTTTGGCAATGACTGTATCAGCAATTCTATTTAAATATACTGTTAAGTCTTTATCCGATAAGAATCGAAGAGCAACTCCTAGTCTTTCTTTTAAAGGCAAGGAGTGCTCATCCAAAACATCCCACCAATCATTATCGGCTATAAATGCAAAAATTGCTCTTAAGTAAGGGTCGTCTAGCTCGGAGGCCATTTTACGACATTGGTCTTTCCATGGACTATTAACATTAGAACTCTTGTATGCTAAATAACCTGCAACCGCTGTGGACATTAATCTTAGTCTTTCTTTTTTAGAAGATGCTAGGATTTCAACTGCTTTTTCTACATTACCATGAAAAACTGCCCACCCTGCAGCCTTCTCATATTGTCCCCATGAAATTAAAAGGTTCAATTTTTCTTCAAACTCCGAATCTGCCAAATACCAACCTGATACTATCAAACATAATTTTCTTTGGGCTTTCTTCTCACTATTACTTGAAATATTTATACTAGCTGTCTTTTCTCCCTTTGAGGATACTATCGTTTTGACAACGTGAGAAAACAACTGATCTGTTATATGACCCATATCTTTTCTAACCCTATTTTGATCATTAATTTCTGTAGCACCTTTCCAAATCCCCAAGACACCTTGATATCCTAAGTCCAAACCTTCAGCTATCATTGTCCCTTTATCAAGAGACTTCTTAGCCAAAGTAAGCCATTTCCATGTGTTCTTTAAGAATACTTGGGTATCCATACTGTCGAATTTTTCTAGAACTTTGATATTCTTCTCACAATCAATTCCATAACCTAATAACGACCTTCTTCGAATAGTACTACATATGTCATTCATCATAACCTCTGAAGTATAAAGAAAGGTATTTAGAGGGATAAAATCCTCGTCTTCCCTGCTGTACCTATTCAAATTTTCTTCTCTTCCATAGTTTGCAACTACACTATCGTCATCAACAGTAGAGTCAATTTCTTCTGAATAATCTTCTTGGTTAATATCTCTTAATTCATTGGTCCTCAAAATTTCGTTATTTTTTTTCATATTCGTATCATCTTGAAGATTCCCATCATTCAAAAACTTTGTGAGGGTACCTTCTGGTCCTGCAATTGAAAATTCATTATATGAGTTAAAATCAATGGATTCAATACATTCTACAACAGGCATCCTAAAGACTGAACCTGATTGTCTCATACAAACAAAATTTGTTGAAGTATTCGAGGATATATCTGAAGAATAATCAAACGAAATTACTCTCTCATAATCAGTTTTGACATCCAACACCATTGATACGAAAAGAGAATCCTCGTTGGGTTTGTAAAGTTGGGAAGACTGTCTTTTCAATGATTGTAATACATTACTTTCTTTAGTCATCTTTGGCTTCATTTCTCCTAGTTCTTTCGATTTAGGCGTTATCCCGGTATGCCATCTTCTAATTAAATCTCCATTGAAAACCGCTGAAAATTCACCCCGTCTCACAGTTGAATATCTAACACATGGACCATGATTTTTCCTAGATGAATCACTAAGCAACTTGTTGAATTGCAACACAGGTGTCTCAGTAATTACATTGCCGCTCAGAGAAGGTTTAGATTTTGATGTATTCCCATGCAATTTTCTTCTATCCCAAATCGCCAATGACCCATCTTCACTGAATGACAGGAATAAATGTGACTGGAAATGATCTATAGTTATACCCAATGTACATTTGGTTGCCATTTGAAAAGTCGGTATATCTGTACGCAAATCAACTTCTCTTAAAAATTTATAACTACCTGCTAACAAATTACTATCGTGATCAGGATAAAATGTTGATGATAAAATAGCTTCATTAGGGATATATGAATATGTTGGTCGTTTAATGTGGTCATTATTACTATTTCTTGAGTAATGCTCTATATTCCATATTTGCAAGCTATTATCTTGTCTACCTTTGTCGAATCCGGCTGCCACCATCCCTTTATTATTGAACGAAAGCGAATTGCATGGTCTACTTTGTTTAGGTCGAAGTTTTAAAATTGACGAATTGTTAGAAGTAATATCAAAAATGCAAACAGTACCATTAATTTGGCCCACACTTGTTAATCCAACATCGTAATATGAATATGCACTGCATTGGATATTGCTGAAACCTGGTCGATTATTAACTTTCTTAATATCATTAGATTCGCATAAGGGATCCTCATGGTTAGTTTGATAAAGAAGTACCTCATCACCAATTGGATTTACAGCAAGGAATCTTTGCTCGTATCCAACATCCCAGTTAAGCGTCCTTACAATTGATCCACTCATAAATACTGTATTATTATGCTTATCTAGCAGTAGCTGATAATACAAAATCGAATATTTCAATTTTGATGCGCGAACTTCCTACAATCTACTGCACTTTATTCTACTAACGTTTAATATAAACAATGTACTTAGATAAAATATACAAAACATAGTATATTGCTTTGATTAGACTGCACGCCGACTAATCACACAAATAACATTGTATCAGATTACAATGCATTAAAATAAATAACGAAAATTTTCGAATTAGCGAATTAAATTGTTTTATCACCATTATAGCTTAGGCCTCCACAGAGGACATTCTATTCATATTTTGTTCTTCTTTAGATACAATAAATTTAACGATATTGGCTAAATTCTTAAACCCCTTATCAGTACCCTTTATTTTGCTCAAATGTAACGACGAAGTATTTTTCAAATTGATGATCTCGATTTTAAACTTCAATCTACGACCACCCGAGTACTTTGCCGGTATAACTCCACTAATCATGCCAAAGTCCTCATCTATATCAACTTTACTTACTGATCCTTCAATTTTTTTCAACTCTAATGTATCTTTGATTACACGAGTCAATTCACTAGCTTGTAGAGTGGAATCCAAAACATAGAAATTCTTAGCTTCAATATCATCCAGCTTATCAGGATTGAACTTTTTAATTAAGGACTTTCGCTTCTCGCCTGTTGTAGTCTTGGTATTAGCTGTCAATGAATATATGAGTTTCATGAACCAGTTAGATTTACCAGAATCATTATAATTGTCATTCAGTTTCTGTTGCTTGGAAGATACCGAGATTCTAGAAAATCTGTTGTGACCTTGGGGCTTTTCTTCGCCCCACTTAAAGCCTGGTGCTTTAGGGGCCTCTCTCTTTGGTTTCAATTTCTGGAAGATTGAGTTATGCCTTTGGTCCAATTCATTAGACTCCGCTTGAGGCACCTTCATTTCAATATTTTCTTCAACTACTGAATTTCTATCACGAATTTTTGGTAAATTCATTGTACTGAATATTTGAGTTGAAGCAGTGGATTTTCTCAAGTCTGCTCCTGTTTGTAACAAATCATTGTCACCCTGTTGTTCATTCTGCTGCTTGTAGCCATGTTCATATTGTTCCTGATCATTCTGCTGATTGTATTCACGATTGTATTCGTGATTATACTCTTGTTGGTCTTCTTGTTGGTCATCTTGCTGACTGAACTGATCGTTGATGTCATCGTCGAATTCGTCATCAAAATCTTTTTGATTATCAGTAAGTGTTGGCGAATACTTATCTTCATCCAATGGGACTTCAGATCTATCCTCATTCATATTCGTATCTGCAACTGATGAAGAATCTAAAATATCAATATTACTCGATCCGTCTGCTGCAAATGAAAGATCATAATCTGAATCTGATACATTAAGTTTATCGTCCTTAATTATACTCTGGCGAACATTTTCCTCTGTACCCATATTGTCACTATTCTTAATAGGTTCTTGTACATCTGTTCCTGATTTTGGCCTTTTATCATTATATAATTTGGCATAGTCCTTATACATGGATTTAATTGAATCTTGAAAGGATTTCTCATCTTTATCATTTTCTACCAATGTCTCTTTAGAACAATCCAAATTACCTAGATATGTCGATTTCCGTTTGTTCTTTTGATCAAAACTATCATAATTATTGTCCACCGTGTGTTCTTCTGAAATGCCAGATTTTGAAACAGTTTCATTTGCATGGTCTTCCTTATCTTCCTTCAATATGTATCCTTCAGAATTGGCACGGTTAAGACTTATTGCATTTTCTTCAAGGGTTGAATTATCTTGTGAATCATCTGCAGTATCAGATAAATTCACAGAAACAAAATTAGAATCACAATATCCACTATTCTGCGACACTTTTCTGCTCGTGTTAGAATGTTGGTTCTGAATACCTAAACCAAGTAAATTTGTGGATGATTTTTTTAACGAACCGGTTTCCAGTTTCAAATGACTAGTTTTGGTATCCTCTTCAATTGTTCTTGATGATCTAGATTCCTTTTGGTTAGCACTTTTTCTTACTACAGTGCCTGATGAGGTTATATTATTCTGAATCGTAACATCGGGGTTATCAAATCTTGAATTCAATAATCCATTGAAAGAAAATCTTGAAAACCTTGGGTTTGGAATTAATTCATTCTTTCTAGTCTCGATTGTTGATAAGGTATTGTCGTAATCTCTATCAGCGTTAGGTCTCTTAGGTAAGTCCTTCTGAATTTTATTTTCATCAATACCATCTAACAATGATCTGTAACCCATAGAATTTAAAGTAGTCGTTCTTGATATTGCCAGAGATTGCACTTTTGACACTGACAATCTAGAATAGTTTGGCTTTATAATTGACTGATTGGCCCTTTCCTTTTCATTAAATTTGTTCATAGAAATGTTTTCTTTCTGGTGATCTACTGACTTATAACCTTCAGGATTTGAAGCTTCATTGTTTAAATAATCTGCCAAATTTTTTGAACTTGATGTTTTCAAATTCGAATTGAACTTTGTCGATGTTTTCAATGGAGCAACGTCAATTCCTAGTTTTTGCAATACTTTAGAAGTATTATCATTTGTATGGGCATTTTGTCTTAATGAAACATACGACGAAGGAGAAGCCAAAGATTTGGCTCTTAACAACGATTTTGTCCCTCCACTAAGCCTAGGATCTAATGAAGAAGTTGGAGTTGGTTCAGTTACATATCTCTGTTGTGTTCGATGGCCTGTACCTCTTCTGTCATTATCATTATTACTTTGGATTTGGCTGCCAAGTTTTTCCAATGCTTGTCTCTGCTTCTCTTGCAAAAGTTTGGATTGATCTCTTTTCTTTATTTCAAGCTCCTTCTTATGTTGAAACGCTATTTCTTCTTCCTGTTGTTGCTTTAACTTCAAATCACGCGCATCATTCTTCTCGTGAACTTTTGCAGCTAATTCTCTCTCGCATTTTTCAATATTAGATAATTTTCCTGTATTGCCGTCCGTCTGTTTATCTTTCCTAACCATTTCTTCAGGCTTTGTGGATTGCTCAGTATTACCAAAAATTTCCTGGCAAACAGATTCAAAATTAAATAAAGATTTGTTACCAAAAGTTCCATTCAACTTGTGTTGTTTGTAGAGTGAATTTAATTGTGTCTTTTCAAGACGTAAATCATTCAAGTGAGCCATTCCAGATATTTTGCGACTCAATTTTGGTGGTTCTTGTTGAGGAGGGCGCTTTCTGAGTGATTTTGAAGAGTTATTCCTTGAGATAACAGTATTGTTCATAATCGTCTTCTTTCTATTGAATGAAGTAGATGCTTTGAAAGTAGGGGCAGTATTTGTAATATTACCCAATACCTCGGACCTTTTCTTAGGAGATCTTGATTTATTCGACAAATTAGAATTCGAGTTAGGTATTTTCCTGATTGTTGTATGCTTTTCGCCAGTTACTTGATCTGTGGTTATTGTTTTAACAATAGACGTCGATCTCGTAATCGTTTGTTTTGAATCACTACCTGTCAAATCGGGATCATCTTCATAATTATTAATAGCATTATTTGATACTGTAAGATGCTCATTCCTATATTTCACTAAAAGGTAATAGAATGTTTTTTCGGAGCAATCTTCTGGTGATAATAACTTCGAAATAATCGTTTGTTCATCACGGTTATGAAACAAAACAGACAAATTCTTCAAGATTTCTTTGTCGATGTTATTTATCGAATCAATGGGTTTGATATTTAAGTCGCTAAACTCAGTAACCTTGTTTTTCCTAACTGATGGCTCAGGGTATTTAGTTAACAATGGATGCTGCAAAATTGCGTCAATTGTGATCCTTTCGCTAGGATTCACCTTTAGCATTTTGGAAATTAAATCCTTGGATTCAGGTGACAAGTTGTTTGGCATTAAAAACTTACCATTTTGAACCTTGAGCAATAACTTCCTGATATTTTCATCGTCAAATGGTAAGTGGCCTGTCAATAATGCAAATAATATAATTCCGCAAGACCAGATATCAGAAGGAGCACCATGATAATTCTTACCGGCTACGATCTCTGGTGATGCGTAATGAGGTGACCCACAAGATGTCTCCAACAATTTCTCGCGAACTTCTAATGCAGCCATACCGAAATCAGCGATCTTGATATTTTTGTTAAAGTCCAACAATAAATTTTCTGGCTTCAAATCTCGATGGCAGATATTAAACTGATGAAGATAGTGTATACCGTTGATGATTTGCTTGAAGTAGTTGATAGCTTCAAACTCTTGTAATTTGCCCTTCTTTATCAAGTAGTCGAACAATTCACCTCCTTCGATGTATTCCAAAATCAAGTATAAATCGTTTTTGTTTTCCCATACATCATATAACCCCATTATATTGGGGTGAGAGATCAATTTCATGATAATGATTTCTCTTTCGATCCCATAGGGCAATCTGTCTTTAACCGACCCCGAACTGTCTACCGAGTTCCTCTTGTACTTGGGGTTTTCCAACTTCTTGAAATTTGACTTTGGGACAATCTTGACTGCCGCTAACTTACCACTGTTGATGTTCTTCGCTAACCGAACCCGTCCAGTGGACCCTCTACCCAACGTACGGCCTAGCTTCCATGGCCCTATACGATTCTGAGTCTTGCGCTTCTTCGCAGAGCTATTGGTGTTGGTAGAAATCTGTGAGAGCCTCTTCGTGGCATTCGTTACAGACTGCACCACCTTGTCCATGTTCTCCGTCGACGCATACTTGGTGGGCGACGGGTTCGCAAATCTCCCTAGCGACTGACGCGAGTGTTGTTGAACCAATGTCGTCGTCATATTAGCCTGTCTGTTAGTATTGTTCTCGTCCCGTTCGCTGTCTTTAATCTCTGTATCGATACGTACTGTACTTTCTCCCTGTCCTATATATTTCCTGGTTCCTATACCTCGTGTACCTCAAATGGCTGTGATCTCTTCTATCACTTTAACAATAAACGTCCAAAAAAAGAATGAATAACAGTTGGTGCTTGTGCTGTTGGCTCGTTGTGTCGTACTTAATACTATAACCTCCTGGTTGCTGTATTTATGGTTCTTGTATGCTTCCAAGAAGAATTGCTAACGAAAAAACTAATCTAATTCTTCTAGAGACGCCTGGTATTCGCTGCCAAATTTTCACCGCTTATTATTATTGATAAGCCGTGGCGCTAATTCCTCTTTATTATGATTGTTACTCCAACTATCGCAATAAAATTCTCTTGAAAATCGTGAATATCGTGAATCGACTAAACCGTTTCCCTTTTTTATTATGCAGACACGCTCTGCCCGATCAAATGCCTATTTTTCCCATAATGCCTTTGTTTGTTTGATCGTCTATATTATTGTAAACACCCCTGACTCGAATCGCCAAAATTTCGTGTTTGTGTCTCCTGCACATAATCGAGTCGATTTCGGTGGTAATTGCTTATGTAATAAGCAGACAAAAAGAATTCCAATATCACCCTGATAAAGAATAAAATCGTTCGGTACTAATGGGTAAATAGTGGACGATATATAAGGTACAAGATGCTAAAATTTAAAAATAAGTTCAAGTTTGGATCTTCCAACGGGAACCAGGAACCTACGAGTCCGACGGGGGCCAAAGGGTCGCCTAAAACGTCGTCGGAATCGAGGAGAACGATTTCGGGTAATGTTCTCTCGGATAATCTTCTGAAGCTTTCGATAACGGACCAGGAAACCACACATTCAGATCGTTCAGGGTATCAGTCGTCAGTTCAGTCGGGCACGAAGTCGGGAAATCAATTGCAAGGAACGGGCAAGACAGCACAAGCGAGTGCCCAACCGATAGGGGTACACTCGCCTACGGAGGCCCAGGGGAGTTTTGCGATAGCCTCGGGGTCGTCGACCAAGTCGACATCGCCAGCTTCTGGGTCTTTGGAAACGGAGCAGCCAAACACGACTGTGAGCTCTACACCGGGGTTGTTGACGGTGAAGATATATAATTCGGCGAATTTGCAATTGCCAATCAAAATCAATAATAATAAGCAGATCTTGCATACGTTGGCAACGAACGCCAATAACGAGGTGACGAGCCAGCAGTTGATTAAGAACTTGAATGCGTTGGCAGTCAAGGAAGAAGAAGATGAAGGAGGACACGCACACTTGCCTGGGTCCATTTCGACCAACTTTTTACCGTCAACCATAACAATTCCAAATGGAGAAAATTTGATCAAAGCGTTGCTTTACTTGACGGTGGAATTTGATAATAACGTTTTGGTTATAGAACCACAAAAAGGAACAGTGAACCAGTCGGTTTGGAATCAAGTTGTATCGTTTGATGTGACCAAGAAATCTACGAGTAGCGGTACTGGGTCAAACTTCTTGAATTTAAACTTATTTATCAGGTTGCCTAATATATTGATTCCTGACTCGGAGAAGTCGTCGCAAGAGAACTTATTTACTAAGAATGAATCGGTGAAAAACTCCAACAATATAGGCGATTTATTGATCGGTACAATCAAGTTGCCATTAAACTTGAACTTCCATATAAAGCCAATCAGATTAATGAACCACGAGTACTTGAGTTTTACCAATTTCAATTTATCTGACGATGCCAGGAAAGCTCTCGGTGAGATAATGTTGACCATAGACTTCAAGCCAATACTAAAGTCCCATTTATCCATTAATGACTTTGACTTATTAAAAGTCATTGGTAAAGGGTCATTTGGTAAAGTGATGCAAGTTGTGAAGAAAGATACAAAGCAAATTTATGCATTAAAGACATTACGCAAACAGCATATCATATCAAGAATGGAAGTAACTCATACGTTAGCGGAAAGAACAGTGTTGGCAAGAATTACCAATCCGTTTATTGTGCCATTAAAATTTTCGTTCCAAAGTCCGGAAAAGCTTTACCTTGTTTTAAGTTTCATAAACGGAGGAGAATTGTTCTGGCATTTGCAAAAGGAAGGTAAATTTTCAATGAATAGATCTAGATTTTACATAGCAGAATTATTAACTGCATTAGAAAGTTTGCATGAATTAAATGTCATCTATAGAGATTTGAAACCTGAAAATATTTTGCTTGATTATCAAGGGCATATTGCATTGTGTGATTTTGGATTGTGTAAATTGAACATGACCAACAATGACAAGACGAATACATTCTGTGGAACACCCGAATATTTAGCTCCTGAGCTCTTGTTAAATCAGGGCTATACTAGATGTGTTGATTGGTGGACCTTGGGAATTTTGCTTTATGAAATGTTAACAGGTTTACCACCTTTTTATGATGATGATGTCCCTACGATGTACAGAAAAATTTTACAAAACGAATTGAAGTTCCCTACTTGGTTGGAAAATACAGATGCGCAAGATTTGCTTATTAAGTTGATACAAAAAGATCCCTCGAAGAGATTGAACGATGCTCAAGTGATCAAGAACCATCGCTTCTTCAAGGACATCGATTGGCAAAAGTTGTTAAGCAAGAATTACTTACCACCTTTCAAACCAAATGTAGAGAACTTGCTCGATACGTCTAACTTTGACCAGGACTTCACGAACGAGAAACCTCAAGATTCAGTCGTTGATGACTTCTTGAGTGAAAGTGTTCAAAAGCAATTTGGTGGTTGGACTTATAACGGTGACAACATTTTAAGCTAGCATATACAGAATACATAAATGTTTTCTTTTCTCATGATTAATAGATATATTTTTATTAATATTCAAATAAATACTTCAAAATAACACATAGAAATAGAAATTAATTTATAAGGTATATAACACGACACCCCTCACGTATCACCTGTTGGCAGCATTATCATATGTAGCTCCTCCTCTTCCTGGGAACGCTCCTCCTCCGGTTTTCAGCTTAGGATTGACTTTTCCTTCGCTCAATGGCGCACCGTGTTTATAGTAATCGTGGGGCTTAGGAAAATCACCTTGCTGGATTCTTTGCGCATCTCTCTGAAGATACTGTTGGTACGAAGGGTTAAGATGTTCAGGATTAGCTTGTGATATATTCACCATCTGTGGCTTGACCTTAATCACATTGGGATCTTTCATTGGGTCATATTGCTCACCTTGATACCCTTGTGGTGGGTTTCCATATCCTTGAGAATATTCTTGGGGGTATCCTTGTGGTACATTGTCATAACCAGCCTGTTGTGGTTGTCCGCCATATCCTTGTTGATAACCTTTCTCTTGGTCTTTCTCTCCGTATGATGGAATTGCTTGTGGAGGTTGTGAATCTCCTTTCCCTTGCTCATACTCCTGATATGGAGGCGGTGGAGCTTCCTGTTCGGGCTGTTTATCCTTTGCCGCTTCTTTTTCTTTTGAGCCGTGAATCAATTGTGAGATCTTTTCTTTCATATTACTTTCTCTAATGATAGGACCGTCTCCTTCTTCTTACTTTTAATATAGCAATCCATAGTTAAGCATGGATTGCAAACAAAAGTATCATGTGATGCAAGATTTTAGTTTTGAGGTTTTGTGTCATTTTATTCATAGTGCTGATTTTCAAGAAATTTTTCACTTTTAACAGTGATAACCAAGAGTGAATGGCTCAGTAGTGGAATAGAAACATGTTTGGGACTAGTAAGAATATATCTGCATCATCGACTCTCTTGAAGACGTTTATTCGTGGAAAGAAAAAGACGAGTTTATCTCCATCAACGCAGAAAGTTGTTAATCAATTATCAGCATTATCGGCATCAAGAAAACAACCTAAGTTAATAAATCTCTGTAATGAGGACTTAATAAAACATCAGACAATCACCAATGCATGGAAGGTATACCAACGTAAGAAGGCTCAGAAGAAAACAGAGGAATTAAGAAAACAATACGAGAGTATCTACAATGCCATGGAAGACTTGAAGACATCGAGTCCCGAATTATTTGCGGTGGCCAATACACCAGAACCAAAGAAAAGATTCCCTCTCGAGATGAGGGTTCCTAGTGAATATCCTGCAAACAAGCCGTGGATTTATAACTACTCCCAAAAATAGGTGTTCCTATTCGTGTAAATAAATATATTGATATCTGTATGTAAAATATAAGTATTAAACAGTAAAATATAATTATTGTATAAGCTAGTGTACATAACTGATGTCCTAGAGTGGACGTCACGGCGGTGGGGCATTAATCGTCAATAGTCCTGATCTTTCGTTTTCTTCCTGGCGTACTCTGGTTCGAGTTGGAGTTGGCCTGTGATGCCGAATGGTTGTTAGTCGAACCAGGTGTATTTCCACCAGCATTTCCATTATTGGGATCTATCGAGTCCTCGTAGTCGTCCAAATCTTCATTCCGTCCACCATTTGAGTTTACTCCCTGTCGCTTCATGATCGTCTTAATATAGTTCACTGAGCTCAAACTAAATATGTGGTCATCATCGGTATATGTTATTCTTCTCTTGTTCAAACCACCCGTGTTTGTTTTGGTGAAGTTTTGGAATCCTTTGACAATATTTCCATAGACACTCTCGTTGAAGTACTCGTTTTCTTTCTCGTAGATCGAATCTTCCAACTTACTGAGCTTCGAGTCTAACTCCTGTTTTTTGAGAATTTGTTGAGTCAACTGATCCTTGAGAGCCGTATACTGTTCGATGCTCGGAGCATCCTTCGTCTCCTGGCCTTCCTTATCTGTCATGACTCCAGTTTTCTATTAACGTATCACCACTTAGAATGTTGTTTTCCAGTAGTAGTGGATTCATATTGGAGAGGGCACGATTTATGCTCGTTTCGACTCCTAGATCCGACTAAAGATTTATTAGCCCACACCCTAATGGGCTTGCTCTTCCTCGGTCCCACAACAACTATAGCATACTATATTACTACCACACCACTATATCAAACTACAATGCCACACTAACTACTATATCATTAACTCCATTTAGATCTATTTCATTACTATTATTCTTACAACAATTGCTCACCATAAACCTCTTATACTTCCACACTCATCTATTACTAATCCAAACCCTTTTGGAAATTCCGTATCCTCTCTACAAGCTATACTTTCCCTGGTAATTGCAAAAACTACCTCAACAGTCTCACACTATTGTAACACTATTGTAACTTTTCCATAGAGTAGAGCCCACAACCGCCGAGTGTTACGTCATCCCGGAACTCGCAGAGGGTACCCGGGACACTACTAGGCCGTAGAACAGAACTCCGAGTCCGACGTGTACAGAATGTTGCTATAATATGCGAGAAGTACTGGGGTTTACCTACCAGAACTATACCAATTGTTGGCAGTCGCCGGTAAACGTGGACGTAGGAGCATGTTCAATGGCATGTAGATCCATATAAGTCCTATAATCTATTAGAACACGTAGAATACCGTAGAAAAAGACGTTAGATGCGACACCTTCGGCAGATCGGGAGTGAGTGGTCCACCAACAATTGGTGAAAAATTAATATAAATAGCGAAACTGCACCGATTTCTTCATAATTGAACTGGTGATAATTGATTTATTTTTCATTTGAATTTTCAATAAATTAAATATATATATACAATGGCCGTCACTAAGTTATTTGCTCGTTATGTCTACGATTCTCGTGGTAACCCAACTGTCGAAGTTGATTTAACCACCGACAAGGGATTATTCAGATCCATTGTTCCATCTGGTGCTTCTACCGGTATCCACGAAGCTTTGGAATTGAGAGATGGTGACAAGTCCAAATGGTTAGGTAAGGGTGTTACCAAGGCTATCGCTAACATTAACGAAATTATTGCTCCAGCTTTCGTCAAGGCTAACCTCGACGTCACTAACCAAAGTGCCGTTGACGAATTCTTGAACAAGTTGGACGGTACCCCAAACAAGTCCAAATTAGGTGCCAATGCCATCTTAGGTGTTTCTTTAGCTACTGCTAAGGCTGCTGCAGCTGAAAAGAACGTTCCATTATACCAGCACTTAGCTGATATTTCTGGTTCTAAGCAAGACAAGTTCGTCTTACCAGTTCCATTCCAAAACGTCTTGAACGGTGGTTCCCACGCTGGTGGTGCTTTAGCTTTCCAAGAGTTCATGATTGTCCCAACTGACGCCCCAACCTTCTCTGAAGCTTTGAGAATGGGTTCTGAAGTTTACCACAACTTGAAGTCCTTGACCAAGAAGAAGTACGGTCAATCCGCTGGTAACGTCGGTGACGAAGGTGGTGTTGCCCCAGATATTGGTTCTCCAAGAGAAGCTTTAGACTTGATCATGGATGCCATTGACAAGGCTGGTTACAAGGGTAAGATCGGTATTGCTTTAGATGTTGCTTCTTCTGAATTCTTCAAAGACGGTAAGTACGATTTGGACTTCAAGAATCCAAACTCTGACGAATCTAAGTGGTTAACCGGTGAACAATTAGCTTCCTTATACGAAGAATTGATCAACGAATACCCAATTGTCTCTATTGAAGATCCATTCGGTGAAGATGACTGGGATGCTTGGGTTCACTTCTACTCCAAGGTTTCCTCTAAGATCCAAATTGTTGGTGATGATTTAACTGTCACTAACCCATTAAGAATCAAGACCGCCATTGAAAAGAAGGCCGCTAACGCCTTATTATTAAAGGTCAACCAAATTGGTTCTTTAACTGAATCCATCAAGGCTGCTCAAGACTCTTTTGATGCTTCCTGGGGTGTCATGGTTTCTCACAGATCTGGTGAAACCGAAGATACCTTCATTGCTGATTTATCTGTTGGTTTAAGAGCTGGTCAAATTAAGACTGGTGCTCCAGCTAGATCTGAAAGATTAGCCAAGTTGAACCAAATCTTAAGAATCGAAGAAGAATTAGGTGACAAGGCTATCTACGCTGGTAAGAACTTCCACGCTGCTTCTCAATTATAAATTATTTAATGTCCTTATTTATATTGGTAAAAGTCGTTTATTGAATACACGCTGTTAATAACTTGTTTATTTGTAGATCTATATGCCTATATTTCATTTGCAGCTATTTTGTTCATTGCTTCAATAAGCCTTTGAAATGCAATAAATGTTTCTGTAAATGAATTGTATAATGGCAATGGTGCTAATCTAATTACGTCTGGTCTTCTCTCATCACAAACAATGGCATGTTCACTCAAATATTTATTTACTTTTTCCATTACATTCTTACTAGGTTCCTCATAATGTGGTTGAAACAAGACTGACAATTGACATCCCCTATCCTCTTTGTTAAGTGGAGTTAATATTTTGTACCCCAATCTATCGGTTTTTTCTTCTTGCTTAATATAATACTTTGAGCTAGTTAATAAAGATTGTAAAAATCCCGTTAATTCAACGCTTTTCTTGCGTAACTCATTAATACCCCCAACTTTCTTGAAAAGTTCCAACGAGGATTTTACGGCAACCACGTCAATAACTGATGGGTTAGATTGTCTATATGATAATGCTGATTTAATAGGATCGAATACTTCCAACATCTTAAATCTGTCAGAAGCGTTATTTCCCCACCAGCCTGCTAGTCTAGGCGTAAAGTGTTCAATTGAGTTGTCTTTCGTATGTCTCTCATGGACAAAAATTCCTGCAATCCCACCAGGACCTGAATTTAAATATTTGTAAGAACACCAAACGGCAAAATCAACATTCCAGTCGTGTAGTTGTAGAGGAACATTACCCACGGCATGGGCCAAATCCCATCCAACAGTAATCCCAAAACTTTTAGCACATTCAGTGATTTTACTAATATTGAAAAACTGACCGGTGTAATATTGAATCCCAGAGAAACAAACAAGTGCTAACTCGTCTTGATTCTTCGTTATCGTTTCAATTATATCTTCTGTTTCTATGTAAGTTTTGCCTTCTTTGATCTCCATTTGAATCAAATGATCTTTGTCATAGCCAAATATTTTAGCAGCGTTCAAAAATGCATAATAATCAGATGGGAACGCTTGCTTTTCAAAAAGAATCTTTGTCCTTTTACCAGAGGGTTTATAAAAGCTCATCAACATAGCGTTCAAGTTACTTGTTAAAGTTCCCATGGCTGCCACTTCATTTTCCTTGCCCCCAACAATCGGTGCGATCAATGGCAACAAAGGTAAATCGATATCAACCCATGATGTTAATCCGTTTTCCTCGCCAGGATGTCTAAAATGAGATTCAACACCTCTTTCACTCCATGCATTCAATTCATCGTTTATGGCTTTTCTAGTCGTTTTTGGCATCAATCCTAACGAGTTACCGCATAAGTAAATTGATTCAGTTGAGTCTTCATATTTTTCATGTTGAATCCCCAATGACTTGAAAGTTGGAATTTCAAACTCTTCCTTATGTGTTACGTAAGATTCGTCTAGTTTTCTAGCTTGTTCCAAAGACATATTTTCTGGTTAATAGTCATATTATGTCCTAATCAAATTTTTCATTGAATTTGAAGTGTCGCATTCGGCATTAATCTCCGATTTGCAACTACCAAAAAAGATTTGGGATAAGGAACTATTTTGAAGTATATTCAGAGTGAAATGTAACTTGAATATATAATCTGATAATTAGGTTTTGTCAATAGGTTTCTGTAGTTTTTTTCTTGGTTTTCATATTTTCTACAAATAATTACAAAAATTGTAAAATTACCTAACAATGAGGTAATATTAAAAACTTGTAGACATAAAAATCAAAGAACTATCAAGGAATTAGTAATATCAGATACAGAATTAGCTGGATTATGCTTTAGTCTTAAGTATTTGACCATATTAGGTGTCAATTCCTCATTATTTTGTAGAAAAGTTTAAAGCGTTAGACTAATAAGCTAAGACCAAAATATTCATCTTACTTGTAGGTTGGTAGATAAGGATATGCAAATAGGATATATACGTACATTGAACGAATATTTATACGTTATCTTCAAATATGTATATTAAGATGGAATTTTGTAAACAAGTGTCTATTTGATAACGAGATCGTTAGCAGCAAAATAATTGAGTATCGAGCCCGAACGGAAATTATATATAGTGTGCAATATTGAAGATATAGCAAACAGTACAACCATACACGAATAAAATGATACATTCAGTGTTAATATGTATGTTCCAAATAGATATATTTTGTTAAAGATTGATACTAACAATATAAATAGTTAATAATGATGGTTTACCAAGATTGATGAAATTCTATACCCTCGTGGACATACCTACCCAGAGATTATTATTACAACAAGTATATCAATTAATATCAGTAAGAACACCACAAGAGTGCTCATTTATAACGCCCCCACCGTTATTAGAAGATCTAGATGACATAAAAGTGATCTACAGACACTATGCCACCTTATATTTTGTATTTATAGTAGATGACCAAGAGAGTGAATTAGGTATACTAGACTTGATCCAAGTGTTTGTTGAATGTTTAGACAAGTGCTTCACTAATGTATGTGAATTGGACTTAGTTTTTGGATGGCAAGTATTGCAAACGGTCCTAGAGGAGATCGTACAAGGTGGTATGGTCATTGACACCAATATTCAACGAATTGTGGCTGCAGTGGATGAAGCAAATAGTCAGAAACTATCAGGTACGACTGGCAGAAATACGGGGTTTTTACTGGGTTTATCAAAAGAGGGTGGCTTCAGCTGGAGAAGAACGTAGATAGAAGCAAATTATACTAATATTAATATACATATTATATACATCGTAACTATTTCCTAGAAAACCATCCTTTCTTTTGTGATGCCAACTCCTCAGCCTCCTTTAACTCTTGTTGTGCTTTTTCGACTTCCAATCTCTTAAATTCGTCTCCACGTTCCCTGTTGTACTTCTCGATGTCTACTAACTTTGGATCGGTGTTCCTCCCGTCCTTTTCGAAAGGAGACTTTATCTTTCCTGTTTTCCAGATCGGATCATTCGAAGCTGCGGTCTCCTTGGCAATCTTCATGAGCTCCTGTTGCTCTTTTTGTCTCACTTCCCTGTTTCTTTCGTACTCTGCTCTAATTTCAGGCGAAAATTTGGCTATCAATTGTTCATCCGTAGGAACCGTATACTTGAATAACAAACTTCCCGTTGCTATTATACTAAATCCCACTACACCCACACGGGTCCAGCGGTACCACAATGGTTTTTGACTCATCTTTATCGTTTTATCGTCCTATGAACCTGATTATCATCTGGTCATAAAGCATTGGCTGAAATATATGATGGATTCTTCACGTGACTTAGTACCCATTTTTGCTGCTAGTACTAGCCAAGGACAACGGTTCACATAAACATCATTATGCACCTAATTGACCCCTATATTGGCTGAAATTCATTCTCTCAAACAATTGGCTGCTTGATAATAGAAGCGGACCACTTAACCCTCGAATTCTATTTATATTCTTGGTGTGACCGCATACAACTATCATTACTAACTCATCTTTAGTAAAAACCTCACACTGCCTCTATATAAGACTTACGCGTAGTAGAGTAAAAAAAACTATACGAGATAAACGACCGTTTATATCTCTTATTTGAAACTGTTGAATACATTTAAACTTATTACTATTGGAGAGATCAACAGCCTAACCATTTATTTTTCAACAAATAATGTCTGGTGAAAGTGATGCTAATCTCAAACAAGATGCTACAAAAAAAATGAGCAAGTCTTCAACAGGCAAAAGAAAGTTCCACCAAAAGTCCCGAAATGGATGCCTGACATGTAAGAAAAGACGGGTTAAGTGTGATGAACAACGGCCGGTATGTCAGAAATGTCAGCACATGAATTTGACTTGTGGATATGCTACGAATGGGAATGGTGGGTCGCAGGATGAGAAAGACCCATTGCCGATAAATAAGAAGCGGAAGATGTCAACGGGCTCTATGTCCCCCGGAAGTGAGTCTAATGAGTCTAGCACCCAACAGGAGACATCGAGTGTCAGTCCGGCGCCAAATATGGGGTCCAAATTGGGGCCGGGAGCAGAAAAGATTCCAGGAAACTTATTGAATGCCGGCAACTTGAATAACCTCAATTTGAGCCATTTGGTGAATAACTTGAGTGGCCTCGGAGGAGGGTTAAATTCTCTCGGGAATTTGGCCAGCTTGACAAATTTAGCGACGCTAGCACAATTGCCTATAGATTTAAGTAACTTGGGAAGCCTTATCGATTCGCAAATACACTCTGCTGTAGCCAATAATACTGCAAACAATATGCCGTACAGTAACGATTCCCAGAAGGTCAAGAAGCAGAATGAATCAGTAAACAATAATGGAATCAACATAAAACAAGAAGAGGGCGAGAACCAACAATCGGGTCCGATACCACAACAACCAGGAACACAACCTCAGCATAGTCACCCCGGCGAACAACATGAACCACAACCGGAAGGTAGTGGAGCTATACCGAATATATCACCTAATGTCAATACTCTGACGTCGCATTTGACTGATAATCCATTGAATAATCCTATGGCCGGAATGGGATCTTCAAACTTAAACATGCTAGACTTGAGGTTAATGTTTCATTACACTTCCCAGGTAGCAAGCACAATTACAGGTGCAGGTATATCGGATACTAATATATGGAATTATGACATTCCCATGTTAGCATTTGACCATCCATTCTTGATGCACTCCATTCTTGCCTTCAGTGCAACCCATTTATCCAGAACTGAAAAGGGATTAGATCAGTGCGTGACATGTCATAGAGGTGATGCGTTGAGGCTATTAAGGGAAGCTGTGTTAGATATCAACTGCGATAATACGGACGCATTAGTTGCCAGTGCCTTAATTTTAATCATGGATTCATTGGCAAACGCATCGTTTCCGCTGTCTACTTCTCCCAAATCCCTACCCGCATCTGCATGGATTTTCCACGTCAAGGGGGCAGCTACAATTTTAACGGCAGTGTGGCCGTTGACTGAAACTTCACGGTTCTACAAATTCATATCTGTTGATTTGGGCGACCTAGGTGATATAATCAGCCAAAGGGTAAATGTCGACCCCAGCAAGGCCGCAAGTGACCAGAAATTCTTCACCGATTTGGAGTGCCATGACTCTGAAATCGCAGACTTGTTCCCGGTCGAGATTGACTCTCCGTACCTTGTTACACTTGCATACCTCAATAAACTTCACAAAGAACGCTACAAATCGGATTTCATCCTCAGAATCTTCGCATTTCCCGCTCTTCTCGATAAGTCCTTCTTGTCTCTATTAATGACTGGGGACATCAAGGCAATGAGAATAATGCGCTCGTACTACAAACTTCTCCGCTCATTCACCACGGAAATGAAAGACAAAGTCTGGTTCCTCGAGGGTGTTTCGCAGGTCTTACCTGTAGACGTCGAAGAGTACGCTGGAGGTGCCGGTGGTATGCATATGATGCTTGACTTCTTGGGCGGTGGTCCATCAATCATAGATAATGAAATTGACGATGAAATTACAAAGTTTGATCCTAGTGGATCCCTAACTAATCGCTTAATTGACACTAATAATTTACCGAGTGATATTACAAGCAACCTTGATGTCATGCAAGGTGGTAACGGTTTCATGAATATCAAATAATCCTATGATGTATATATGTCTATTGTATAACTAACTAATATATTGGTGAAAACACGAATCCTATGATAATGCCCGAATCGCGAATCCGTCGAAATTCGGGGTTACCCGCATTACGTAATAAATCGTTGAAACAGAATATCAACATGAAATCAGTCGACTTGAAATAAACAACGTTTGAAGTATTTACTAATCGACTTATAATAGAATCTATATTGAAATAGATACAGCTTACCACAATTTTAGATATATATATATATATTGTTTGAAACTTTTTAAAAGCGGAAATAGTAATTACTAGGTATAAACGACCACAAATATTCTCGATTGATTTTAGAATATTCCCTTAAAAAGAACAAGAGATTTTTTGAAATTCGTAAGGAACATTATATACATAGAAAATAAGCAAAATGCAAACTATAAAGTGTGTTGTCGTCGGTGATGGTGCCGTTGGTAAAACTTGTTTATTAATTTCATACACAACTAGTAAGTTTCCGGCCGATTACGTACCAACTGTTTTCGATAACTACGCGGTGACGGTGATGATTGGGGACGAGCCATTCACGTTAGGGTTGTTTGATACTGCCGGACAAGAAGATTACGATAGATTGAGACCATTATCTTATCCTTCCACAGATGTGTTTTTAGTGTGTTTCTCGGTTATATCCCCTGCGTCATTTGAAAATGTAAAAGAAAAATGGTTTCCAGAGGTGCATCATCATTGTCCAGGGGTGCCATGTTTGATTGTTGGAACACAGACAGATTTGAGAAACGATGATGTTATTTTGCAAAGATTACAAAGACAAAAGTTGACACCAATTTCTAACGACATGGGTGAAAAATTGGCCAAGGAATTAAGGGCCGTCAAATATGTCGAATGTTCTGCTTTGACCCAAAGAGGGTTGAAGACCGTTTTCGACGAAGCCATAGTTGCTGCCTTGGAACCTCCTGTTATCAAGAAGTCCAAGAAATGTACCATCTTGTAAACGAAGTGGACAAGACTAGACTTTTTGCTAATTGTCTCGTTTTTTGAATTCATTACCACTTTCTATACTGAATTTTCATTTTATTGTCCGTGCTCCTAAGTTGCTGGCCTTGTGCTTTGCTTAGACCCGTCTTTTCGTGGGTATTATTTTTTTGCTGTTGTTTTCATCTTTTCGTTCTAACGTAATCATTTGATACCATCATATCATATTCCATTATCATTCCACCATAATCCTTCATAGTCAGATCTCGCTTATGTTATACAACGCTACGTATTTTGCTGCTATCATTTCTTTGCTTTATGTCTTATTGCAATAATTACACGGATAACAGAAGGAGTATAATTATTCATTGGGTGCCTTGAATTTCATTTCTACTTACAAAATGTCTTGTCGTCATTAATTTTATTACATAGAGAGAAAGAAGAAGCATGAATATATTTTTTTTGAAACATGGATAGGTTAACATGCTCAAGTATGCTTAAGTATAAAATATTTAGTTTAATATAAACGAATTTCATTGAAAGTCACATTTGTTGTTTCTGAGTACTACTATACACGCGTTAGGACTGATTATAAAACATTTACTTTGTACCTATTTACATAATTGATACATATATAAGTACAAATTTATTTACGCTATTCTAAGCAATGTCTAAGAAATGTTGTGGTGCTTCTTGAACGCCTCAATTCTTTGTTGCTTCCATTCCTGAAGTTTAACTACATACTCTTGTTTCGCGCTTTGAGATGGCTCGTATCTTTGTTTTTCTTCGGCTGGTAATAACTTCCATTCATACGCCAAGTCCTTGTTGATCTGTCTGAAGTCACCACCATCATTAGGGTAGTTTTCCTTCACAAACGACGCATACGAAGTAGGTGGGCTCTTTGGTCTAGGAACAAATATTTTTAACATTTCTTCGTTAAACTTGGCCGCCTTTTCTTGATACACTTCCTTCTCATCCTGGGCTAATGTTTTCCAGATATTCGAAACTTCGCTAAGACCGTTTTTGCCGACGGTATTTTCCTTAATGAAGTAGTTATATCCCGATAACTTTCTAAATGGTTTGGTGGCTTTCGCAATAAACTTGTCTTCCTTCTTTTTGGTTTCGGCCAACGCTTTTTTGGCCTTTGCCTTATCAAGAGCTAATTTCGCCTTGTCTTTCAATTGTTGTGCCTTTTGCTTTTCCTTATTCTTCTTATTCGCAACATCATACTTCTTCTTAAGTGTAGCGAATGTAGCCTTTTCTTTAGCGAGTCTAGTCTTTAAACTGGCTAACTTCTTCTTATCGGCAGCTATTTGTTTCTTCTCTAAAGAAAGCAACTTCTTCTTCTCCGCCACTTCTTTTTGCTTGGGAGTAAGTTCTTTTCTGCTAGTGGCACCTTGGAAGCGGCTAGGAGTAAACCCAAATGTTCTTGTAGCTGTCAATACGCGTACTGGAGCTAAATTGACGCTTAAAAGCATCCTATTCATTGAAATCATCATTTGAAATCGAAAACTCTCCGAATTGACTACACAAATTATCAATCTAAGAAGAATTGCCGTTAAATATACATGATGTTTATGCTTGTTTATTTTATGTTACGTTGCGTGTGAGTGGAGGTGAATATATAATCACGTGAGAATTATATGGTCCCAGTTATCATAGAACCGTCATGTAGCTTTCTTTCATGAATGCGATGGTTTATGGGTATTTGGGCGACAAGATAAGGTAGACACGTAGTTGAAAAAGGTCAATGACTAATTTGATTTCAGAAAAACGCCCAGTAAAAGGCCCAAATTTGCATGGGCAAAATTGGATCTTTTATTGAACCATCAAAACTCAACCCACAAAAGCCTAATTGAATTCATTTTTTCACAATTGTATAGAAATATAGATGTTCTAACATATATACCCCTAGAATAGTAAAACAATACCCCTAAGGAGAAGAAAATGTGTCATTTTGTAAATTCACTAAATTTGTTGAAGAGGACGTGCGTCTACCCATAAAATTATTCGAATCAGCGAAACAAGTCCAACTTAACAACATCGTAGTTGAAGAAAAGACATTACTTTTAATAAATCCGTTAAATATAGATATAATAAACGAATAGTGGGAATGTATTCAGCTGCTCGTTCAGAAACGTTATTTCTCGGAGGAGAAAAGGTTAGTGGTGATGATATTAGGAATCAAAATGTATTAGCCGCTCAATCAGTTGCCAATGTGGTGAAATCTTCATTGGGACCGGTTGGTTTAGATAAAATGTTGGTTGACGATATTGGTGATGTTACAGTTACTAATGATGGTGCTACTATCTTATCATTATTAGACGTTCAACATCCAGCATCTAAGATTTTAGTTGAGTTGGCTCAACAGCAAGATAGAGAAGTGGGTGATGGTACTACATCAGTCGTTATTATAGCCAGTGAATTATTGAAGAGAGCTAATGAATTGGTAAAGTACAAGATACATCCAACTACTATCATTACTGGTTATAGATTAGCCTTGAAAGAAGCTATCCGTTACATCAACGAGGTTTTATCACAACCAGTTGAATCTTTGGGAAAAGAGACTATGGTTAACATAGCCAAAACTTCAATGTCGTCGAAGATTATTGGTTCTGATTCAGAATTCTTCAGTCAAATGGTTGTTGATGCCATGTTGGCCGTTAAGACCACTAACTTGAAAGGTGAAGTTAAGTATCCAGTTAAGGCAGTTAATATTTTGAAGGCACATGGTAAATCTTCTACAGAATCTGTCTTGGTCAATGGTTACGCGTTAAACTGTACTATCGCATCTCAAGCCATGGTTAAGTCCGTCAAGAATGCAAAGATTGCTTGCTTGGACATCAATTTACAAAAGACAAGAATGGCTATGGGAGTGCAAATTAATATTGACGATCCAGATCAATTAGAAGAAATCAGAAAGAGGGAATACGGTATCATTATTGAGAGAATCCAAAAGATTATTAACGCAGGTGCCAATGTGGTCTTAACCACTAAAGGTATTGATGACTTATGTTTAAAGGAGTTTGTTGAAGCTGGTGTTATGGGTGTAAGACGTTGTAAGAAGGAAGATTTAAGAAGAATTGCCAGAGCAACTGGTGCAACTTTAGTTAGTGACTTAGCTAATTTAGAAGGTGAAGAAACCTTCGAAAGTTCATACTTAGGTCAAGCTGAAGAAGTAACCCAAACAAGAATTAGTGATGATGAATGTATATTAGTTAAAGGCACTAAGCAACATTCTTCTTCTTCAATCATATTGAGAGGTGCCAACGATTACTCGTTAGATGAGATGGAAAGATCATTACATGATTCATTGTCGGTTGTGAAAAGGGCCTTAGAAAGTGGTAATGTTGTTCCAGGTGGTGGTGCTGTTGAAACAGCACTTAACATTTATTTGGAAAATTTTGCCACCACAGTCGGCTCAAGAGAACAATTGGCTATAGCCGAATTCGCCAACGCATTGCTTATCATTCCAAAGACCTTAGCTGTCAATGCTGCTAAGGATGCTTCAGATTTGGTTTCAAAGTTAAGAACTTACCATGCCGCTTCCCAATCTGCTTTGCCAACTGACACTAAGAGAAAGAAGTACAAGAATTACGGCTTAGACTTAATTGAAGGTAAGATTGTTAATGAAACCACCCACGGAGTTTTAGAACCTACTATGTCAAAGATCAAATCATTAAAATCCGCCTTAGAAGCTTGTATTGCCATTTTGAGAATTGATACCATGATTACAGTTACCCCTGAACCTCCTAAGGAAGATCCTCACGGTCATTGAATGTATATAAAATACGATTGAATAGAATAAATGCAAGTTAATTAAATGCTACAGTCCAAGACCAAGTAATGATATTAATAAACGATTAATAAATATATTGTCACTCTATAGAACACGTAGAAATATATAACTTAAACCAGTAAACCCTAAAAAACCCATTTGAAGAATTGAAATAAAACCATAACCAGATATATTAAACAAGAATTCTTCCATTATTAATCACATTAATACCAGATTGATTGTAATTACTGTACATGAATTTTGCCTTCTCGTTTTCGGTTGGAATGTTTAAGGTGTTTACCGATTTACCAGATAACGGGATTCTGCCCTGCTTGGACAGTGATATGTTTTCGTCTTGCTCGTCAAACGATGATAAGTTATAGCTAGACGAGCTGTTGCTGTGTAAAGACAACGAGGACTGTGATGAGTTCAACGACAATGAAGACTTAATCGATGAAATCGAGGTAGACGAGTTAGATCTCGAACCAGTACATTTGTAAGTGTTCGACAATCTGTAGTAGTTAATCTTAGCGTTACATTCGTCTTGATGCTTCTTACGAATGCTATTTTTGATGGATGTCAAAAATGGCTGTAATACCATAATTAGTTCGTCTTCCTTGACATTGATATCCCACTTCAATAATCCAATCAACTCTCTTTCTGCCATATTGACTTCCTCGATAGATAATAATCCATCGGTGTATTTGGTCCAGTGCTTGTTCATGGGCGACGAATCGTTCAACGACTTTGCACTCAAAATTAAGGAACCTAAGAAAATACGGTGTCTAGTAGTTTCCATACCAACTGCATTAGCTGGCAAGATGTTTCTGAGCTTGTTAAGGTATATTAAACTAGCCATTAATGTAGGTGTTTGAACATTTGAGTATTTGATCAACTTCTTGATGAATACCGTTAATGGCACATGTGTCTTGCCAACCGGATTAATTAACAAGTTACTGTCATTCATCGACATCTTCTGGGGCTTTGGTGTCTTGACCTGAATGACTGAACTAGTGGTAGACGCCAAAAATGAGATCATCTCTTCACTAACCGGCTGCCTGGAAAAAATTCTCAAAGCTTCTCTGTCTGACATCTTTTACGTATTGTGCTACCAAAATTTACCTTCAGAGAAAAACCTTCAAATCTGATAAGTCTCTAAACTTATTCTCTATAATCCAAAGGATTCTTCACCATATATATACTATTGCAGTTACCGACGTCCAATTAGTACCCTTCTTAGCAATATTTCTGAAACGGTATATTTTTGGAACAAAGAGCGCGTTGAATTTCGCATCCACCAAATCGTGAATTTTTCACTTACGTTACGGAAAGGCACGGCCTACTTCACGATTCTTTGTTACTATGCTACAGGATTTTTAACACGATTTTTTACACGCCTATAATCGTGAATTCACTCACTATCACATTCCTGTCCACGTAATGTGATTTCACGATATGTGGGACGGTAATTGTCTATGTGCGCAACCCTGGAGTCCATTGACATTCCAACGCCTACCTACGTCGCCATGCTCTATGTAAATACTAATAAAGCATTCGAGATACTCACGTGAACTTATAAGATCCCAATTGAGTATAATGTCTAGTAGACTAGTGCAACAGAATAATAACGAGTTTTGACGAAGTGTCGACTGTTGCCTATTACGGTAATTTTTTATTTTTCATGGCCATTAGCAATGCTTCGCACATAGCAATAGTTTATATAGAACATAGAATACTATATAAAATTAGACTAATCGGTCAAACAGTGGAACGGGGTACCGTATCTCTGTGTAGGCAATTCTGTAGACCAGACGTGTAGATTATGATTAATTAATGACATTGTCTGGGTAGTAGAAGAATGCAAGGGCCACAATAAGGTATGTACTGAGCAACATTGCACCTTCTAGCCAGTTCAGTTCACCATCTAAGATGACCAAATTGGTAATAAATACAGAAACGAACAAAATAGCGGTTTCGAAAGTGCTGAAGTACAACGACATGGGGACATCGATCACCCATCCGACCAAAACCATGAAGGGGGTGACAAAGATGGCGATTTGTAACGAGGAACCAACAGCGACACCAATGGCCAAGTCCATCTTGTCCTTCATGGCAACAATGATCGCCGTGACGTGCTCAGCTGCATTACCGACGATTGGGATGATGATCAAACCAATGAAGGTCTTTGATAATCCGGACGACTCGACAATATCATCAATGGAGCCCACCAAGTAATCAGCACAGAATGAGACCAAAAGGGTTGCGATACACAATACTACCACAGAGCTGAAAACTGATAACTTTTGCTCTTCTGGCTTGGCATCATTTTCATCTGGAGGTAAGCTGGTGGTGATGATACCATCGTCAGCTTCCTGTGCTTGCTCCTCGAATAAAGACTTGTGGGTCTTCAATTGGAATAACAAATATAAGATGTAGACAATCAATAAGATAACCGAAACACCTCTAGACAACGAAAGGATTAACGTGTCGGACGACCCTGGTTCTGGGAACCCATGTTTGCCCTTTGGGGGTGGTAATGTAGCATGGAAAGCAGCTGGAATCAATAAACCTGCAGTAGCCAATGCCATCAAGGATGACATGGTCTGGGCAACTGTCTGATTGAATGTCTGTTGCACTCTTGTGATCCCTCCTGCAATAAAACAGCACCCTAAAACTAATAACAAATTCGACAAAATGGAACCCAACATACTTGCCTGAACAATTCTGACTTGATTTTCCTTCAATGCAATGATAGAAACAATCAATTCCACAGCATTACCAAAAGTAGCATTCAATAACCCTCCAATAGTCTGGCCAACATTCTCGGATAATTCTTCTGTAGCGAACGCTAATAACGAAGCCAAAGGCACAATAGCAAAAAAGTTCAACCAGAAAACTGCATTAGCGGACCATTTTAAATACTCAGCTAAGATCCCCAATGGAACAAACACTAAAAGGTAATTGACTGGTGAAGACTTGAGAGTCTTCACGAAAACACGCAGCACGGAGGCTTTGGTATTCGCTAAAGATCTAGTTTGGTTTTCCCCAACTAAAGGAGTTCTATCATCCATTGACGGCATTATCGATTATATCACTTACTTACAATCGACCAAATGATAATTATATCGTCTTTTAATTATTGTACTAATACAATAGCTTCCGTTTCTTGTATTAGTTGCTAATGGCTTTTTGACGGATCACGTGACTATATAAAAGTCATATAGCCATTCATTATCTGGATAATTACAGTATTTAGAAGGATTTGATATAATCTAATTAAGTAATCTATATAGCTAATAAACCAACTCTTTCCACAAGTAAGGCGTGAAAACAATTATAGCAGTGAAAATGGTATCGAATGCTTCAATTAAGGCAATAGGAAATCCTAAAAGGCCTCTGTCTATAAAGTTGCAGTAAATTGCATAGAAGGCCACACTGAAGAAATGGTTGAATAACAACATAGGGAAAGGTAAAATTCCTGATAACAATCCAATTGGACCTGATACGCAGTCACCTCCGAGAACAAAATATTTGAAACAGCCTTTTTGTAAAATCATTAAAGCATTTTTGTCGGCAGCGAACAAAGTGTACAAGGCTATAGATAAGGTATTAAGCACAGCATCAAGATTCTTACGCTTCTTATGGAATGTACTTAATTGTTTGGTTAATATTTCGTGGTTGTCCAAGTCCTCTATGTATCTTGGATGTAATAATTTAGCAAGTAACGCACTGTCATTTAATCCGACGGTCATTCCTCCCCCAGTCAAAGGATGTCTCATATTAAGAGAATCCCCTAACATAATTAAGCCCTTAGTCTCTTTCCCCTGCTTTACTGCCGGTAAATACTGATTAGGCATCGCTCTAAATTTTCTTGTCTCCAAGGCCTTTTCGAACGACGGTTGGGTTTCTTTGGGTAACGCAGGTAATACTTCGTCACGAAGATAATTATACAATTCATCGTTTGTTTGAGAAGGTGGTTTGGTAGACCTGTAAGCACACAATATTCTTGTTTCGTGTGGTGATATTTGGTATATCAAGATGGGAGCATGCGATCCTAATATGACATGTCCACGGTTGGGCATAGGCAATTTTGCATCGACAAGCTTTAAACCAACAAAATAAGACCCTACTACTGGTACATTTTCGGCACAAAGTTCTTTTCTAAATTTTGAATATATTCCATCGCAACTTATAGTTAATTTAGCTGAGTATGTCTTAAGTTCCAGGTTTTGCTTGACTAAAACACCTGTAACTATACTAGGATTTTCTTCATCTCTAAGTATCTTGGTAGCCGTGCCTTCAACCCATGTCACGTTAGGTTCACTTTTAACCATCGCTCTCAAATTCATCAAAAATTCTCCATTGTGAAACGCAACACCTCGAACACGTTCGTCTTCTTCCCAGTCCTTCGAACTCAAAGTATAATCGCTCTTCATCTTATCGTTACCATCAAAGACACAGTCTGGTACCAGCTTGGCAGGGCTCGTTTTCATTGCATCCTGTTTATCTGGGTAGTCTAATCGAACTATTTGTCCACCATATTTAACGTAATACCCTGTAACATGAATAGCTTCAATATTGTTTATAGCCTGAATCATACCAAGATCCTTTAATGCTTTAACCCCTCCAGGTTGTAATAATTCTCCTACGATTCTGTCGGGTGTAGACCAATCTCTTTCAATGATCAAAACTCGCCTGCCTTGTCTTGCGAGAGCTGTTGCTATAGTAGGACCTACAACACCAGCTCCAACCACAATAACATCATAAATGTCGTTAACACTCATCATTAATTCTACCTGATATCCTAATATAACTCCAACACGTTTGAACAGATGAAAAATGAACGTATTTATGTATCTAAAATCAATATTTATGGCACCACTCACATGCTGATCTCGTCGTATAACTTTTATATACCGGAGAAACGAAAATTCTCTTTTTTTCATCAATTTCCATTCAAAAACATACGACTATCATAGTGTTAATACTACAAAGATTATTGATATATTCATTGTCTATTAATTATATATGGTATGAGAAATCAATCACTTTCTTCCTCACTTTCTTCCTCGGCTTCTCTTAACCAATCGACCCATTTACCAGTCAAAGTTCTAACTTGAACCAAATCATCATTGGCAGTAGACGATTCTGAATCCCACCATTTATAGATATTTTCCTCTTCTACTATATCTTGATTGTACAATATGTTAAGTGCCATGAATAAAATCTTTTGATTGTACGATTTATCCACTTTGGAACATATTTCTTGTATGATTTGCAATAAGTCGACTTGTTCGAATTCTTCGAATACTTGTCTCTTGAATAACAACCCCCACTTGTTGAAAATTTTTTCTGTTGCCTCTTTAACATCCAAGGTATCAGTAGTGATAAAATGGACAATTTTGTGGATTAATGCTTTGGAAGTAGCTAATCTGACATCATGATAAGTAACATTCATGGACATTCTCAAGGTATTCAATTCCAATAATGCGGTATCCAAATCGTGGTTGTTCTCCATGGATCTGTCAACAGTTGCAATAGCTTCTTTTTCAAAATCTTCTTCTTCTTCTTCGGAAAATACGCCGCCTTCGTAATCAGTTGATACCATTGAAGCTGACGATAATCTTCTATTTCTTGATGAAGTACGACGGTGGTGCTTCTTGGCCTTAGCATTAGAAACGGATGCAATAGAATCATCAGAAACATTTAATGATTGCATTTGATAAATTATACCGGAATAGTTTTGTGATACGCCATATTCTGAATCAGATTCTTCGTCAAATTCGTTGTCTGACACGTATAAGAAACCGACACCGTTGTCCCCAACCACATCTACATCATTTACAATCTGTTCAGTATTTGAAGTTTTACCACCATTAGTCTTTCCATCTTCTTCGTCACTATCGAATGAAGGACTCAGTTCAAAAGATTCGTCATTTCTATCGATCGGCTTTTCTACAACTCTGGTATTATTTGAAAGATGTATGCCATCCCCGATAACCACATTATAACCAATGACTGTTCCTGGATTTAATGTAACGTCGTTACCAATTTCAGCATTTCCAGCAATGATACTGTGATCGATAATTGAGTTATCCTTAATTATAGCATTATCCCAAACGTAGGAGTTATTAATAATAACGTTGTTACCAATTTGACAATTTCTACCAATGACAGACTTTTTGATAGATGTACCTTCTCCCACAGATGAATTGGTACCAATGGATGTACAACTGCCTATTTTGCAAGATTGCGCCAAAATAACTTTATCCTCTTTATAGATGTGATTGAATTCATAGCTATAAGAATTGCTTTCCAACAAGTTTGAATCAGGAACTAATGGGTAGCACCACCTGGCCAAGACATCTTGTGAAATAGCATCATAGGTTGCCCAACTTTCTACTCTTGCAGCATATTCAGATCCATCAGTAATATAGGCATAGATGGTTTTCTTCAATAAATCAGACGTCAAAACACCTTTGACAAAATCACTTCTTAAATATTGGTAATCAAAATTCTCTTGGAAAATTTGTGGTACATGTGGAGTGCAAATATCAACGCAACAATCAATTAAATCATTTCTAATAACCATTTCATCTTCGATATCCTCTAATAATTCGGGATCGATATTTATGCTGCTTCTCTTACCATCAACCGGTGGAATACCTTGGTAAAATACACATTTCCCAGTATCCTTATCCAAAATAAAAGTGGCCGGATCAACTTGTGATCTTGTACGGTGCAATGGACTAGCAGGTGTTAACACCATTGTTACAATATGATCTTTATCCGTTTGCTTTCTTTGCTTGTGAGCATTCATGGCCTTTTCAAAATCGATATTAGTCACTACATCACCGGAAACCAACAAAAAATCCCCTGAAATCAACCCTCTATTGTCTAAATCTCTCATTGCATCCCCAACAGACCTAGATTCCAAAGACATAATGGTACTAATCTTAAAAGGTGAAGTTTTCGATGACCATTTTGACTTTTCAATATATTCTTGGATTTGGTCAGCATGCGAAGAGCACATTAAGTACACTTCATTTACCCCAGCGTTAGCTAAGAATTCCAATGTATATTCAATTAAAGGGACGTTAGCTAAGGGTAATAAGCATCGTGGTAGAACAGATGTCAAAGGCATGAATCTGGTTTCAAATGAATCTGTTAATACAATCGCTTGAAAACGATCATCCTGAACAATCTCCTTTTGCTTCTTATTCTTTGGAGGCATTCCAACTTATCAATACTAGCACTAGGGTCAAACAAACCTTATAAAGAGTATATTCATCTATAGGTATTATGAATCAGTATTCACAGAAAATTTGGTTAACCCGATGAATTGGCAGATGATACTACACGTGACACAAATTGCAAAATGCTTCTAGCTATAACTAGAAGACTACTTGATATATGGACTGGACTACAGGAGCTGTTTATCGGTTATTGTCCCTATCTTACGAGTGGATGTATGAGAGAGAAAGAGGGAAAAGAAATAAGAGAAATAGCGCAACTGGAAAAAGGTTAAAGAGATGACACCAATATTTAATGTACGTCTTAGGTGAGTTTATTAGATTATTTACGTTTTATGGGTGGTCAACCATAGAGAGAACCACCAGCACATATAACCATAGATAGAATCATCAATATATATAAAGCTCAATCCTGCTGGGAGGAACAGAAATTTATTGAATAGCTATGATACCTGCATTATGGCTGGATTATAGCATTAATTGACAGGTTGATTTATGTATTGATAAAGATAAAGTATCAGTCTATTCTTTGCTAGCACTAGAAGATTGTGACTTGGGATATCTTCCGTTCATAATAAGCGAAAATATACCCAATGCAAGAATCCCAGTACTGGCAATACCAAAGTTCTTAATTCTGACAGCCTTTTGCGTAGCATCCATTATTCTGTTATTCTCTACATAGGCCCATTTCCCATAAAGGGAACCTAACCATGTACCTATGAGTATCTTGTATTTGTTATCTTTCACAATCGTAACAGTTTTTTCAGATGTTGACATTGCTTTCCATCTTCTGAAATCTTCTAAGATCTTGGCTCCACCACCATACGAATGCATTTTTCTATCAAAAGTTACTGACCCCTGATCAGCCCAAAATGCACAGGATCCGATAGTAGGCATGATCAATATACATGTTTTAATACTTGTACTGAATGACTTGAATTTAGCTGGATGTCGTATTCTCAAAAAATTGAAAAGACCCAAGGAAAGAATAGATCCATAAAAGAGTCCTTTAGCCCCTTCCGTTGCTAGGTAAGTAGCATGTGCCTCTCTTTCTTCCCTATTAATTATCTTCATGACGAACAACTAACACTATTGCAAATTGTTATAGAATTCTCGCATTTCCAAAATTTTAACGATTACCTGTTCTCCTAAATATTATACACTATAAATACTCAATTATGGATCACTCAAATCATATGGATAACGCAATGTCTTCGCTGACTATGGACCATTCGATGCCTGGAATGGACCATGGTGACATGTGTTCTATGAATGTATGTTCTTGTTCTCCTCCTCTGAAAAACCACGTATTAACAATTATCTAGATGATCTTTACCTGGGACTGGGAAAATACCTGTATTATATATAAATGGTGGCATGTGAAGTCGTTGACCGACTTCATATTATCTTTTATAGCAATTGTCCTTCTAGGGATGGGATACGAATTCGCTAAGTTTTGGTTTACCAAGTGGGAGAAAGGCCACATCAATCTTGTATTGGGTGCAACTTCCAATTCTAACTCCCTGGCTATAACTCAGTACAAATTGAAGCGGTCATTATTCTACGGCTTTCAAGTGGGATACTCTTTTATGCTAATGTTGGTGTTTATGACCTACAATGGGTGGTATATGATAGCCGTAGTTATCGGTGCTGCAATAGGAAACAACATATGGGGGTCACTTACCGAACCCACTGAATCTTCTATGGCCTGTCATTAGCTAATATGCCCTAAATCATACATCTCTAATTAATTAAACCTCATTTTACTCATCTGAAGGTTTGCTACACTTTTGCCAGTGGTCAAATCTAACAAGCTACATACATATTAATATACGTGATTCATTACAATGATATAATACAATTAGTCATAGAAACAATTCCATTGCATCATGAAGGGATTAATAATTAACCATTAATCAATTAACTGAAATTATATATGTATATATATAAGATAAAATAACATTTTGAGAAATGATAGGGTATAAGTATATTTATTAGAAATTACCCTTAACAGGTGCTCTAGTGGCGCAGAGGTTAGCGCTTCGTGCTTATAGCCGTATTACGACGATTTGGTTATACCATAAGTCACGGTCGTGTGAGGAACGCGACGGTCGTGGGTTCAAACCCCTCCTAGAGCATTTGTCTTTTTTTTTTTGATTTTCGCTATACGGGTATTAGATACTCAGTGTTGCATTTGCAGTGTTTTTTTGGGATTGATCTTATGATGGTAAATCGATGCCTTGTAAATTTTAGATCACATTCAAGAGTGTTAGTTTAGTAGGTATTCAATGACTTCTTTACTGGAATACTCCTAATACTTCTATTATTCATACTTGATCTAATCGTCTGTAATGGTTTTGATCATTTTGCACGACTCATAATTTTTCAATCAGCTCATCTCTCAATGTCAGAATAAAGATCTTCTAGTAAGTAAGACATAGCTTCATAAGATTAAATAGAGTAATGGCGGAGAAAGTTAGATACTACTTGGAACAATCAGTTCCAGAGTTGGAAGATTTAAAGAGAAAAGGGATTTATGATAAGAATGAAATCACCATGATCATGAGGAGAAGAACCGATTTTGAGCATAGAATTCAAGGAAGAGGGTCAAAGCCAAGAGATTTCTTAAAATACGCAGAGTTTGAAACCAACGTTGAGAAGTTGAGAAAGAAGAGATATAACAGATTAAACAAGGTAGGACTCATTGATACGAAACCTAGTTTGTCGGATTGGGCAGGATCTAGAAGAATTTTATTTATATATGATAGAGCTACTAAAAGATACCCCGGCGACATGAACATATGGTCACAATATTTGAAATTTGCAAAGGCAAATGGTGCAATTAAGTTGATCTATAAAGTTTATTCACGTTTATTGCAATTACAACCAAGAAATATCGATGCGTGGTTATCCGCAGCTAAATACGAATTTGAAACCAATTCCAATGCCAAAGGTGCTAGAGTTTTATTCCAAAGAGGTTTAAGATTAAATCCTGATTCGTTTGACTTATGGATCTCATATGCTCAATTCGAATTAACATACATTTCAAGGTTATTGGCAAGAAGAAAGGTTCTTGGCTTAATTACTGACAAACAACAAAAGGAAGAAATGGATAACGAAAAGACAAAATTAGATAAGGCTATTTCTACATCTGACTCTAATGATGATCTTGATGGTGACACCATTAGCTTGCCAACAGGAGATGATGAAATGAAGGAAGAATTAACACATTTACCAGAAGCGGATATGAACATGTTGGGTAATCCCGAAACTAATCCAGCATTGAAAGGGGATGTAGCATTAACAGTTTTTGATTTATGTATTCCCGAAATATTAAAGGCTGTTCCAAAAGATGCTGCTGCTTCTAAAAGAGATGATAAAGCATTTGAAATTATAAATCAATTTATGACGCTTTTTGATAAATTCAGTGATTTGAATAGAGATTACTTATATTCACATGTCTTAAATTATGTACAAACTAACTATCCAAATGATTTGAGGACATTGATTATTGATATTACCTTACCCATCAGAAATGTTGAAATCAATAACGAAAGCTTATCTGAATTATTACAATTATCAGTCAACAAATTTATTGCATATAAGTTGAAACTTAATGATTCGAAACAGAAGGAAACACTTATTAATACATACACCGAATTTTTGACTGACAGATTCCTTCATTCTACTACTGAAAAGCCTTCAGAAAGAATTGATACTTTATTACGTGCAATTATTAAGAAGTGCCGTACTATTTAGAATATTATATATATACATATATATATCAATCTTGTTTAGCAAAGCCAGCTTCTGTATCCAAACTCTTATACATATTTTTAGAAATTTTAGTGGTCAACAAGCGATAACTGAATGCTAATACAATTGCACTTGTAAGGGTGCACGCAAGACCCATGTAAGTCAAAAATAATGAGTAGGACATGGCAATAAATTTAAGTGGGAATCTGTAGAAACCATCTGAAAATGGTAAACCATTATTAGAAAAAGATTCAGCTTGCGATCCGTAGTTCTTCAACCCATCCAACCATCTGACCGCAAAATTAAGTGTTAAGTAGTTCCCGATCACCACTCTTGTAGTATTTGTGCTTGATGACCAAGCAATGGCACTTATTACAGTGTTTTGTTGAGGAATGTTGTTCGATGGTTTAGTTACCATAAGGTTCATAGAACTATCGACGTCCAAATGCGAATCATGAATTTCACCCCTGAAGTTAAATGTCAAAGGAACATATGCTCCTCCCTTTTCAAGATAATATGGCTCGCTACTCAATGGGATACGACAACTAAATGGTGCATCTTCGTGTATGTATAATTGGAATAAGTGGTATAATTCATCAGTAAACCCAATCGTACAGTTCACGTCCTCGTTGACTCCGTATTTAAGGGAAAATGGTTTACCGGTTTCCTTACAGTTTGGAAATGGTACGTATATGATTTTATCTTTATCATCGAAAATATGTTCACCGTTTTCAATATTTCTTGAAATACAATCTATAAATACCTCTTGACCTTGTTCATATGGTTTAATTTCTAAAGGAATTTCCCCATTTCTGTCCAATGGGAAAAACTGTCCAATGGCCCTTTGTACTAATACTAGTCCGCTGAAGATATGTAATAACTTCATTATTATTTATTAAAGATACAATTCAATACTAGAATGAAATCAACTATAAGATTGCGTATAGCAGTATTGATGATCAATGAAAAATTCCGCGTCTACACAATATGCACGTCCGTTTCTAGAAAAACCTCTATTCGATATAATACAACAACTATAATACAAATCCATCTATTTACCCCTGAGAACACCAACCCATTTGCACGAAGAACTCATAGATCTTAGATGCCTTGTTGACATCAATTTTCAATGATTGTCTAGCATCCTTTTTCTTAAGAATACCGTTGTTCTTAACTGCTTCCTTCATTAATTGATTCTTAATTGCAAGATAAGGTTTTGGAAGGATCCTCAAAGTAGCACACAATTGCTTTTCTTCGTTTGAAAGCAAATCGAAATCCGCAGCATGTGAAATATCCAACGGGGCTCTTGTATTACCAACTTTTGGCTTGAATTCTGGCTGTGGGGAGTTAGCCAACGAGTGGTTCTTGCGCCCATTGGAAGGGATTGGGGTGTGGCCGCCCATTGCTCCTGAGTTTCTCCCATTCAAACCGGAACCATTGCCCATACGTTGATAATGTGCCATTCTGATCAACTTGTCCTTTTCGAACTTACCACCATCCTCAATAGTGGTGATACCGTTACGCCTCCAGTGTTGCAACTGCAGTATTCTGATACGGCACTTAAGTTCTGTGAGAATATCTCTACTAAACTCATTGAAATCTTCAGGAGTGAGAATTCTGATGAATGCATTGATTTTCTTTAAGAGATCTTTTTCCTCTTTCGACTTCCGTTTATCAATACCAATATTTTTCCGGTACTCCAACAAGTTGTTTAAAATAAGCACACGCTTTCGCTCTGCTCTAGTAGTCAACCGCGAGTTGTAAATGTCTAAAATTGTTAATTTGACCTCGATATCTCCAAGAGAGTCCTCAGGATCAAACACCATATCCTTAACGGGCACCTCTGCATCATTTTCGGCCTCAACATCAAACTCGAGTCTACCAGGCATAAACCCTTGGATTTCGTGACATAATGGCACCGAAGCCACCGTTTTGGTTTTGGGAGGTGGCAAAGGCATGTTCCTGCGGAATTCCAATCTTTCCTTCCGTTGTTCCAAGAACTGGCTCGGGGTGATATCACTGAAATCCTTGTCCATCTCTGGCAACGGATATTCCTTCGAGTTCAAATATATATCAAAGTAGTGGTCCCTGACCTCATCCTTCGATCTGTTTCCGATGTGATCAGCGACGTCCTGCCAGTTACCCAAGCCAAACGTCTCACACCCCTGTACCAAAAGCAACTCCTCGTCTGCACCCCAGTCCTTATCGAATATTGGGTAGGTGTTCTGCTCGATCACCTGGTAATCGTGCCATGGCTTGTGGTCACCTGTAGCCGATCCTGATGCAAAACATGGAACACACAAGTCATAATCCGCACATATCGCACACTGGATCCGTATTCTGTTCGTGCAATCCGAAGAACACACATCACAATGATACAATTTCGTTTTGCTCTCCATTATTGCGCCTTTCTGTAGTCTTTATGTATCTTGTTCGGACTCTATTCTTTCGTCTCCACTGTCTATCTCTCTTGTTTCTCAATCCAATCTTCAATCTAGCTGTATCGTCTCAATATCCGTGTTCCCGAATATCTCCTATCGATCTCTGTTTCTGCAAGTATCCTTCTACTACAAAAATTGACCGTCTATCAAAATTTCTCGATATCTCCTGTTATCAGTATTGATCAAACGTGTGCTATCAATATTACCGCCAATACTACCGCCAACACTAATAACGTGGAATATAGTCAATCTATCTTCGTTAGCTTCCTAAAAAGTTCCTGGATGTATTAACGCTAATTTGTACGTTGTATAGACCCTTTTGTCTACTAAATATACCTATGATGCCTTGTGCAACACTATAATGATTCAACCTTTACCGTGCGCTCACCACCGTAGTATACATAGTTAAGTGTCAGATTATCCGCGAAGTCATATATTGGGGTTTTGTGTAACCTTTTTTCGACTACGACAATGTCTCGGGTTTAGCCCTTAATTCCGCGTGATTTCAAAAACAAAACCAGTCACAACCGTCCCGTGATAACTTACTTATCTTTTCCTGTGTATAGTCGACATGACACAAAGGTCCGCGAAATCCAAAATTTTTCACATTTTCCACCTTTTCCACCCTCTGCAGCAGAGTAAAAGAGAAAATCCTATACATTTTCTTACGTTATTATACTTTTTTGATCTATAATTACAAATACTAATCAGCTAAGATGGTATGTACATATAAGAATACATTGAAACTAGGGATATATGACACGGACATCGAAGACACACATAGAACACTAGAAGAGACGTAATATGCGGACATAAAGAGAAATAAAAATTTGCATGAGTGGACGAAAGCAACATTATTATGGAAAAAACATAGAATAAAGCATAGAGTAGTAGCATCGTGGATACGAGATAGTGGGCATTGATGCGAGAGATGTAAGACAGTCGATATAGTAGACAAATATCGAAGAGTGAAAAAAACTTTCAATGTCTGAACACATGAGAATGTATGGTAGTGGGAATTTTCAATGGCTTTTGTGATTTGAATCCATTAGATGTTACTGTCTCGGTTGCAATGCGTGTCGAGTAGATGGCCGTTCTTTATCCACCAGTGATAATAACATATACTAACAGAAGATATAGGGTCGTGTTAGAACTAAAACCGTTAAGAGAGCTTCCAAGGTCTTGATTGAACGTTTCTACCCTAAATTAACTTTAGATTTCGAAACCAACAAGAGATTAACCTCCGAAATTGCCGTTATTCAATCTAAGAGATTAAGAAATAAGATTGCTGGTTACACCACCCACTTGATGAAGCGTATTCAAAAGGGTCCAGTTAGAGGTATTTCTTTCAAGTTACAAGAAGAAGAAAGAGAAAGAAAGGATCAATACGTTCCAGAAGTTTCTGCTTTAGACTTGTCCCACACCAATGGTCAATTAGAAGTTGACTCTGAAACTGCTGACTTAGTCAAGACCTTAGGTTTCAAAATCCCAATCCAAACCGTTGCTATCTCTGCTCAAAGAGGTCCAAGACGTTTCGCTAAGAGAAACTAAATGGATAGATAATGTATGTAGTGTATTATCTTTTTATGTGCAATTAATAAAAAAGAACTCGTTTTAAATATTACACGGTGCTGTACAATATATAACTATGTTTATAAAAGCAAAGTAGTAGTAGTTAAGCAATATCGCTGAGAAACTCGTTAGTAAGGACATGAATCCTTTTCACTTTGCTGTCGAAGTCACCTCTGGCTGCCCCCAACGATGTTGCATATTCGTTGATAGTGTCGTTGAGATATTGAAACCTTTGCAACAAAACGAGTCTATTCAACACTAATCTTTCTATAAGCCTCCTCTGGGTTTCAGCATTCTCTAATCCCTTTACAACCCATTCTTGAAAGCTCATACTAAGCGAAAGCTTGTTCTCGATCGCATAATTTTTGAGAGCTTCATCGAATGTTTCGTCTTCAACACCGCAACTTAATGGAGCATGGTTGTGCTGGAACTTAGTTGCAGCTAAGGCGCCCAATTCATCATCAGCGTTAAACCCTTCCAGTTCTTGGTGTACCTCGTGCTTCAAAGGTGATAAATGGAGCTTATCTTGTTTTGTTCTAATTGGTGAAAGGGGTTTCTCTAATGTTAATGTGGAGTCGAATGTATCATTCTTGCAATCAGAACTCCCATTAGGGTTGGCTAAGAGTTTAGTCAAAACATTTTTACGTTTGGCGGCTTTAACAGGAGACATTTGATTCTCGCCCTGGTCGTCATGTACGAGCACCCCAGTTAATTCATGGTTAATTTGCTTGTGTGCTGGTGTTGATGTTGCAAATGAATGGTTTAATTGTTTTGCATCATCCAAATCCTGACTTAATTGATTGTTTGTTGGAATCTCCATCTTGTTTTTTATAATATTTGAAGAAAAACCTACTTGAGCGGCTATTTGGGTGCAATTATATATTTCGCAGCTGTTTTAAATAATGGTCTATAAATGAAACTAAACATTTTATATACTTAGACTGCTGTTTAAAAGATAATTAGCTATTAATGAATTATTCGTGATGTTGAATTATTACTCATATAGTGATCTAATCATTAGATGTCTCATCCTCTTCATCCAATTCATCGCTTTCATTATCGTCATTATTCTCATCGTCGCTAACGAAGACACTGGCATCGAAATAAAGAGAAGGATTTAAACCAGATATATTAGCTGATTGTGCCTTGCCGTCCAATAAAATCTCGCTCATGATTTTTCCTGTGCCTGGAGCATTATTGATACCCCAGCATGAATGTCCCGATGCCAAGTATAATCTTTCGACGTTGGTTTCTCCGATTAATGGGCCACTTGATGATGGAACATCTAAAACTGGTAAATAGCAAGCCTGTTTTTTCAAAATATGACCCTTGCTTAAATTTGGGGAAATTTTACTAACTTGTTTGAATAATTCATCACATTTAGATTTGACGACCTCAACATCGTCAGTTGTCTCGGGGACATCGACAGCAGAATCACCTTCCCCGCAAACGTATACTTCGTCTTGTCTAGCATAAATTTCGGGTGATATGTATGATCTAGGACCGGTTTTAAGTTCTGTGAATATGGCAAATGGTGAAACAGGTTGGTCCTCATAGGGTGATATTGTGATCGAATGAGCTCTCAATCCCGAGATTGGACAGTCAGGTAATATCTTCGACGTCCATGGACCCACAGATAGCACAATTTGATCCCCTGTTAATGATACTATCTTATCCTCATTTGATTTAAGACTTGTTGGCTTATATTTAATCCCAGTTGCCACGCCAGTTTCCATTGAATATGTAATTTCGCTCACTTTGCCAAGAATTAACTCAAGGCTTCCTTTACTCTCCTCTGCCGCTTTCTTCAATATAAATGAAGTGAACTTGTATGGGTGGACTTGTGCCGTGGTATCAGTATCGCCCAACATTGAGCAGCTATCAATAATTTGATCATTTATCCAATTTAAGTCCTTGGGTAACTTGGATTTCGACCTCGAACTCGAAGAGTTTAACGAATTCTTTTTTGTTTTACTATTAATCGCCGCTGAAACAGTCAGCTCGCCATCTTGGTTATCTGCGGCATTGTTGTCTTCCGGTAATTTTGTTATATCCCCTTCCAATGATACTGTGGTTAATCTTCTATATCCCCATTCTTCACTCCCATTATACAAATCACTTAATTCCTGATGTAAGTGAAAAGACAATGGTACGATCTGTTGCGGAAATGCCCACAATGCCAATAATCCCCCTGCTTTACCACTAGCTCCACCTGCAACTCTCTTACTCTCAACTATAGTTATGTGGTATTTACTTGGATCAAATTTCTTATGCTTGACAATATAATAAGCTGTACATACTCCAATAATACCAGCGCCCACAATGATTATATGTTTTTTTCCTTCGTGTTCTCCAGAGGGAACAGAATTAAATTTCAAGTATTCGGACATACTAGATATATTTCTTGATTCACCTTATATTCCGTGGCTTTCAATGGTCCGTAATAAATGTACTTATATATTATAAAGCAATTAATATAACAATCAGCTCATTTTTTTGAAATCCGATTTCTAGGTTATGTATTTTGTGTAATTAATAAGCTGTGTGCATTTTTTGCAATCAACTAAACATACATTGTAATAAATACAAATCTATATATCAGAGGTTTTGTATGACCGCAATCTAACATTCCAAATATAAATGTCCTTTGAACGTTAAAATTTTAATCGGACTTTGTATGCGTAATTAATCCTTTATCCCTTTTGAAAACTGTTTCAGTCAATACCTTGACAAACTTCGTTAATTGAAATGTAAATAATGTTAACAACATGACTATTATAGTCAATATCAATTTTTCATTCCTTGTCCATAAGTCATAGTCAAAAAAATGTATTTCATCCTTCTTTTTATTTTCCATGTATCTCTTAACGGTATTTCTGTCCGGGGACCAATATGGTTCGACCGTTTTATGAAACCTATCGTTTCTTTCGATTTCTAGTTCACGCGATGGCTCATTAACCAAATCGTGAAATATCTGGTACTTTTCAGGTTGGGATTCTACCACAGTATTTGGAATTGGGTGGACGTGTTGCGGCATATTAGACGTAAGAATAATCGTATAATGGGGAGATGGCAATTTTCTTATAATCTTCCTAATAAGCTCGTCATGTTCTCGTATCACCGAATATCTCAATTCCAAGTCGTCTCTTGGTGGGAGCTCACTAAGGTCAATCTTAATGACTCTGGTTCTTGTGTCAATATACTGCTCCACCTCTTGGTCATCGTCATGAACCACATTCATAGACTCTGCATGACAGGTGCTGATAATATACTGCTCAATAAAATCCAAATCCAACGTGCCTCTGACCCAGGGTATTCCCACTACACTGGAAGCCATCGTGAGGTATCGTCTCAAAAACGGCCAATTTTCCGACTCCTTCACAGTCATATCTTCCAAAATTAATCCTGGCTGATTTATTACTAGATATTCATCGGAACTGCATTCTGTGACCAAGCGTTTAATTAAATTGGTAGCCCTCTCAGGTGTCTGTGGACCGCTACCGCTGAGTTCTTCTTTCAACCCTTTTGCCAACCGATGCGATGCTACTAACACTGGAACAGCATTAAATGAAGCAACTAGTTGAGTGATGGCTATTAGTACTACTAATCGCCTTATACTGATAAACATTTCTATAGATACGAAACATATAGGTTACTCTT